ACCGCACGCATAAAGTGCATATAGTCAAGTGCAAGGGCTAAAACAAACCATGTATACGCTCAAAAAAAATTTACAGCGTAATGTCCCACTGTTGGGCAAAAGCAGATATACAGTAGGTATTATGGCATAGTCCAACACGCGACCCCACTGCATAAATGTGAATTCACATATCTTCAAATATTTTCTTATATATATATATATAAAACATGCAGATTTCGTCACGATGTTTCCTTCACCGCTGAGCACGAGATAAATCAGCACTTAAAATTAACAATTCCGATAGTGCCGGCACCGGGATTCAAACGTTTCTCGAGTATATATTATTATATTGAATTAATGGCGAGCGCCCAGAAACTAAGCTATCACAGCTCTCAGTACGTATAATAATTACCCCAATATGCACCAATAGCAATGTTCTGCCAAAAAAAACAACTCATGGCGACAAACACCACGAGTTTAAAACTTATAATTCTCTTCTTATTTTGAATTTCGAACACGAAAGTTTAAAGGACGGTTGCGTGATGTCGTTCAACAACCGGAAAAGAATAAAGCTGCGATCAGAATGGTGTAAAAGACGCATTAAATTTTACCATTATTTATTTTACATCTCATTTACACCGATGACACGTGTATATTTATAAATACGTATAGTAGTTAAAAGTTAAATGTAATTAATATTTAACCATTTATGATAAAGGCGTAAAATTTAGATGAAATTTCGACACAAGCCTCAATGATCAGTATTCAGTGATCGATCAACACAACAGTTCCTTACTTTTATTTCTTGAATTATCTGAAAAACGTTTTTAAATTTAGATATTTAAGTTTAGCCGTAGGCGAAGAAATCAAAGAACTGTAAGACAAGTTTAAATGATTCCATTTAGTTGTCGTAAAATTAGATTTCTACCTAAGACTATATGTAATCATCGCCGGGAAGTATATGGAAAATATTATCATTAACCAAAGTAAACGCATATTATTTCTTTTTAATAAACAAAATATAATAATTCACATGTACAGGATGGCTTTTCTAAGTGTATACATTTTTTTATTAAATTCTAGACATAAACAATAGTACCCGGAGGACCGAGCTTTGCTCGGTTTGTTTTTTTTAAATCGTGTGTTTTGGAAATTACATTTAGATACAAATTACTGAGTAATGAAATATGCATAATATTTTTCTATCTTACCGACCTAATAATAAGAAAATAGGAAGTGGTGTTTTTCACAAAAGAAACAAGTTTAAAAAAAGGGAAAAAAATAAAAAAATCATATGGATCAACAAAAAATAAAAAATAAAGAAACCAATGGTCTGGAATCGAAAAAAAAGTAAAAAAGAGTGTGTAAATGATCGTGACACGAACCACGGCCGTCTGTTTTGGGGCCGCCTGATTACCGACCGAGCTATTATGACATTTTCTCTTGCGGCGAAATTTACCGTCATATTCGAATGATATTTTTCAATGCCTGAAAACAGGGATAAAAGGACATTTTCTAAAAATAAAACCTAGCTAGATCGATTTTTCGCCCCCGGATCTACGCACATACTAAATTTCATGAAAATCGCTGGAGCCGTTTCCGAGATTCCGATTGCTCGTTTAAAGGATAAGATTATATAAAAAATTATAAATATTTAAAATCACTCGTAAGTAATGCAATTAGCATTCATTTGAACTTGCCTCAAAAAGTACGTGATTTTACGCGCGATCATTCATAACTAACACGCACACAAGTTCGTGCACAGTAAAATTTAGGTATTTATGAATGACTACCGCATTGTCAACACGTTCTGTTTTTTAAGGGAATAGAATGGCATTTTTGTTGGAAAAAAAACTTTGTTTTTATTTCAATAAACGTTTATACTACTAAGTCTGAACCTCCTGTGTAAATTTGGGCACTTCTCAAAAAATCTCCCTGTATATATAATAAATATAATAAACGGATGGATTTATATTTGCTACTTTATATCAAAAGGCGGTGGTAGGGCCACGCAGCGGCCTCGGCTGTTGCACGAATGGGCAGGCCCGTCCGGGTAAGTACCACGACCTCACAGAAGTCCAGCGTAAAGTGGAAGTATGACAAATACTTTCGCGTTTCGTCTGGTGAGTGAAGCAGCCGGAGCCCAATTTTCAAAAGGTTGTCAACGCATCTGTAACCCTCGGGTGTGGCAGATGTCCATGGGCGGTGAGCCGTCTGCTCGTTTGGCAACTTTCAAAAAAAAAATCTATTAATACAATTTCTAGGATTTATAATAGGATTCTTATGAATTTTAATTCATAACTCTGACATTTCTGCAGCTGTTGGTCACGGGAAGGAATGTTAAAAAACGAAACCTCCCACGTCTGATGGACCCGATATTTTTTATTCGAAAGGTTGGTAAAAAAGCAGCGCTTGTAAATGCCAATCTGATAAAAAGTGGACCGTGGTCGCCTCACTAAAAAGACGAAATGCGAGGGTAATATTTCCACCACACGCCGATTTACTGTGAAACCGCGTTACTTCCCGGAGCCTGCCCATTCGTGCAACAGAAGCTTCGCGACTCTGCCACAACAAAACGCTGCCAGTTAATTGGCGTTAAATAGGTTATTTTAAGTTCTATGAATACCTACAAATACTGTCTATTTATTTTATTTAACCACAGTGTAGACGAGGCCTTATGCGAGATAGCAAAGGACAAAAGCGTCGAGCCCCACGAATCCGCCCCCAGTCTCAAACACGGAAACTCGAAGGGACGTCGCGTAGAGCCTCGGAATAGGACTATAACTTCGCAACAGCATCATCGGAAGTTACGAATTGTGTTTTTATCTTAAAATCAACACTAAGTATTTGACTATGAAAAACGGATACTACCAAAAAAGTATGATACTATCTGTATACTAGAGGTGTGCTGTTCAAGGGGACTTCTAACCACAGTTAGCGCGTGCATCCCTTGTGAAATTTGGCACATCGCCTAGTCGTGAGTAGAGGTCATCATTACAAATAACTTCTACGTATTATCAGCAACATTACTACCGATTAAATAAATTCATCACGAATATAAAAATCTCAAGGCTCACACGTGTAGCAACCATCTTTACACCTTCAGGCATATGTACAGCATATACTGACAATATGATGTGTATATTAGTCACATTACCATTCCAAAGTGCTCCCTCACATTGATGATCAGGCTATGACACAAGACACTGTTTCAAGAAGACAGTGAATAACCGATTTTTTTAGTTATTACATCGTCAATCAAAAACCGTTGACAGAGCCCTTGTCCAATGAACAGATACTTGTAAATCTTTTAATTGCCTATTATCGTTGTAGAGCAATTTTAAAATTCGAATTTTCGCGGTCGCTCTAGATTGTCGATGCTGGTGGGAAATAGTCAAGTCTTTTGTCGCCAGAGCATACCTGAGCTGAGATTAGTACACTATAAGAATATAAGGAAATAATAAATGCGCAGAGTGTGACGATATCGTTTTAAACAACCCTAAATTACGTAAAGTTATAAGACAAATCGTCTGGTGAGTGAGGTCGCCAGGTCCAACTTTATCAAAAGGTGGCAACTGGCAACGCAACTGCAACCCTACGGGTGTTGCGAATGTCCATGAGCGGCGGTTATCACTTAATATCAGGTGAACAGCTCGCTCGTCTCACAAAAAAAAAATATAACAATGATTATTAAATTAATTTAAGAAACAGCAATTTTACAAACAACAAACTACGTGTTTAGTGACGCAAGTTTTCTTGCCCTGGAGAAATGGGGCAAATCAGCTACTAATTAATAAAGTTTCTGTGATAAGACTTTTCATACGCATCCGCAACGCTTGTAGCGTTGTAGATCAAGTGCTCGCATGCCAACTTTCACATAAAAAACCGGCTAAGTGCGATTCGGACTTGCTCACGAAGGGTTTCGTATCATTATACATCATTATATATAGTATAAATATAATCTTTAAAAAAGGCAAAAAAATTAGCTCTATTGTATGGGAGCCCGATTTAAATGTTTTTTTATTCTGTTTTTCAGTATTTGTTGTTATAACAGGGCAACAGAAATACATCATCTGTGAAAATTTCAACTGTCTAACTATAACGATTCATGAGATACAGCCTGGTGACAGACGGAGAGACAGACAGCGGACTTTTAGTAATAGGGTCCCGTTTTACCCCTTGGGTACGAAATCCTAAAAATACTTACAATAACGCATTGTCAGTATATCGAATACACGCGGCCCGATTAAATCCCATACAATCGTTACATACATCGTACAATCGAGGGAAACGTAACCGCCCCAATAAGTCCGTTGCGTCACGCTACGTCAGGAGTAATATTCAATTAATGACGTACCCCCGGGGCCGTTAAGGGGATTAGCAACAGTCCCTGGAACAACACGCTTTAATGCCGCTGCTTTCTAAAGGTGCTTACACACTGGAGTGGCAACGAAAATGCAAAGCTTACTAAAGCGAATCGCAGTAATATAAGGTAATTTGCATTACGTTAGGAAACTTTGGATTCTATGAGGCCCAATTTCTTTAACGAAATATAAAAGATATAAGGATTAATAAATATAATAATCCATACACATTATTCTTTTAATAAAAGTAGAACGTGAGCAGTTAGTTGTCCACCGACTTCGTATTCAACTTTGAAAGCAATTAAAATTAGGAATGCAATTTTAATGAAATTAAAATAATAAAGATAATACTATAAATAAAATAAAATTTGCTTGTTTGTAAAGTTGATAATTCGTTTTATCTTACGAACTAGTTATGTCAATATTGACGTCTCTTGGTGTGATAATTTGTATTGTTAAACTATTTATTAATTGTTATAAAGGATATTGTTATAAAGGATAAATCCTATATTTCTTAAATTTCGTAATGTATTTATATTTTTGCAGGGCTTAGCGTGTCGTGTGGTGGATAAGTAACGCATATGGAAATGAAATAGATTGCCGATGCCCTTCACTCCAACGTACACGTTTGTGATGTGAGGCTTGCGGGAATCTAGTATGCCAGCGCTGTGGCAGTCATCGCAACGCCCTATGTACATTAGGACCGTGTGGGTGGACGGATTCCGGCACGCAATTCTAACGCAAGACGACCCGCATTACATAGAACTATACGCCAAGCGGCGAAGGCCCCACTCATCCGCCAGCATCAACCCCAAACGGAAATCGCAAGGGTCACGGCTGAGCCACCGCAGCGACACGAACTGCTACCGAAACCAAGAGCTGATCGTCACTAGCGACAGGACCAGGATTGGCGAAGAACTAGAGATCGAGACGCTCAATCTAACAGAAGTGCAAATCGAAGAGGGGGATATTTCAAAAGACTCCACGTCGTCTCAGTGTGGGATAAAGAATCACCGGTCGAATTTTACGACCATCGAGATGATGGCGGTGAAAACCAATAGAACGGCGCGAGTGCAAGTGAGAGACACCAACGAACTGTCAGATAGGGTGCTCCAATGGCTGGACTTGGCCGGTAAGGTTGAACTTGTGGCGACGGAGAACGAAAAGCGAATATGCGAGCCGAGACACAGCTGGCCGACGATAGAAAGGCGAAACCCGTCCAAATCTCGCACGGTCAACGACATTAGAACGAGGGAGTGCAAACTGGCGGCGGACGAATCCGAAACGGGCGACTCGATCGATAGACGCGCCCTCTACGCGCCGACTTCGGTGACGACGGTCGAGAATTACGCGAAACGGTCACGCAACGTAAAGCACGCGACACGCGACAGCGCCACGAAGGCGAGGAACAACAAACGGAACAGAGACATGACGACGAACGTAGCGGAGACCAGACAGAAGATGCTAGACGAGAGGGGCGCGATGGAGAAACAGTACGCCGAGTTGGTGAACAGGAAAATCATTCAAGATATGAGCAAAACGAAGAAACAAGTGCACATTTTCATGCCAGAGTCGATAGCGAAGGGAGTTGTGTCCAATGCAAATAGCAGGACTGAGAGTTTGCTGTCTCAGAAATCTTGATAAAATGTCACAGTTATTCAGTATAAATTCAATCATACCAAAACATGAAACTCGTTAAAAACATATTATAAGATTAATAGCTGACTAATAAAAAATTTTATGAACATGTTACAGTCTAATAAAATAAATTACCTCATTGAGTCATTCCTGTAATAATTGCTTTAAGATACGCATACAGCTACCGGTGGACCAAAATACAAGTATTATTTCAATGAAAAGTTATTAGAAAATTTAGAAATAATAAAACATAACATTGTAAGCTATTTTTTGAAAACACAGGTCTTGCGCACATCAAAGCCAAGATCTAAACGCATTTATATTTGCATCTCGTTTAATTTTTTTAAAGACACATTTTACGACCGGTCCAGAGACGTACGCAAAAGAAACTCTGTGATCACAAATGCAATTAAAAATTAATATTTTAAGTACTCACTTATCAGCTTCCCCGCAAAGATGTTTTAATAAAGATGATGCATGTACATACTGCGCCTCGTTCAAAAGTTTTCCGCTTTAAATTATATGACACATGTAATCGTATGATGATAGCAGACTAATCAATTACACGAACTGGTGTCATATCTACCCCGTGTTTGTATATATCATTGCTTACCCCAAAGCCGATAGTGGCGACATCTCTCGCCTGGAAACGGGAACGCAGGGGCGGGTCGAGCGGCTGGCCTTGGTAACGAGGCACGGGAAGTCCCAGAGCTATCACGCGGAAGTTCTCATCGACTCTTACGAGTCGCCATTTCGAGACTTCCTCGGCACCATGCTCCTAAAAACAATTGAACTTTGTCATTCATTATAAAAAAAATCTAGTTTGTAGCTTTTTTGCGTTAGGCATTGGCGTCGGCAACGAGGGTCGTGGGTTCGATTCCCGCTGTTCATTTACAAGGAGAGTCGGTGTCACGCAGGCGGTCGTAAAAAAGCCCAGCGAATACCATAGTATTGCTACAAATGTAATAGATGCGAAGCAGATGAGACATCGATTTTCGCGCAGTGAGAATGTCGGCCTCTGAGCTTAGTGGCTAGAGCGTCCAGACTCGTATTTCGGGAGGCGCAGGTTTGAATCCTGGCAGCGGCGAAAAATTTTGCAACAGTTTTATTAACACGTTTTTAAGTTGTAGCAAGGACAAAGACTAGCAAGGACAAAAACTAGCAATGAAAATTTTTAATTATACTAGCTAACACCATCAACAACATGATTCACCAATACCGTTACTAGGCAAATAATAATCAGCGACAATCAGGTAGTATTTATCATAGGATCGCACTTAGTGGCAGTCTGTGGGGGAGGCCTATGTTCAGCAGTGGACTCAAACAGGCTGAAATTATGATAATGATTTATCACTGGAACATTCTATCCTATTTTAAGAATAACAATTCATTTACGTTAGTGTAAGACTGGGCTTACACTAACGTAAATGAATCTACACAGATTGGTCACAGATGGCACTTCCTGTATGCAATATGCATAATTTCAAATATTTATACTTTAAAAGTAAAACTTTACATTTAAATATTTTGTTATTTTTGCCTCAATGCAGTATTTTTTGAATTATATACAGAGTTTCGTTACCATCGCGATAATAAATAAACACACATATAGGGGATAAGTTTATAAAGTTGTACTAAACATTTAAATTCTTTAAACATCAATATTTTACAGAGGTATTAAATTTTCCAAAACAAAGAATTTTAGAACACCCTTACCTATAAAACGTAACGAAAAGTTCATTTGTAAAGGTCATAAAGCATATGAATGGGTTGAATGAATTTAAAAGAGACAAAACATACTGTTAGAAGGAGAGGCTTGTAATATGACGCTGTGGCGCGAGTTGTATAGGATGTAACAAATTTTGTTTCTTTTTTACTTAATTAGTTTGTTTGAAAAATATATTTTTTTTTAATTATGGATTTTGTTTAACGTTAATATATTTTTTTTTATGATTATTGGCAAGTAGCGTTAGACGTGTGTTCATTTATTGTCGCGGTGGTAACGACACGCTGTATAGTTTGTACTGATTCATAAAAAAGTGCCTAACATAGTTATTAGCAAATAATTTTTCTATAAAAGTTTGAGTGTTTAGCGAGATAATCATTATTTTTCGAATTCAATATTTTTAACGTAAAAAAAGGATTAAATATTAAATTTAGATTTTGTTACATACTAAAACTATATAAGATGTTAGACAAGAATAGGCCAAGTATAAAAGAGGTCATTATTTTTTACCTGCAATAACTTATCATATCTGGCAGCCGGTACTAAGAATCTCCCATCTTCTAAATGCATTTCCCTATTTTCTAGCAAATTATTTAACACTGGCAATACATTCCGTTCAGCCTTTTCAATTCCCTCTATTACAAGAACCCTGCCTTCTATTGCTGCCCTTACTGCACTCTGTAAGGTACAAGAAAAATATATGCTTATTTCAAGGATGTTTTCACAAGCATTTTACATGTATATATATATATATTTTATATTTTCTAAAGTGCTCAAATATATATATATATATATATATATATATATATATTTTATATTTTCTAAAGTGCTCAAATTGTTAGAAATGTATGTACAGTGTTCGGCAAATTCTAAAAATATTAAATTTCGGAAAAAAAAATAAAGCTTTTTCTTTATTCAAAAACTATTAAAACATGAAAAAACTATTTATACAATTAAGTTCAAGGAGCGGATTTAAAAGCTTGAACATCTTAATAATGTTTGGGATGGACTTATGTGAGTACTGTTTTCCCTTTTAAGACTTATGTATCAATTTTTTTTTATTTTTATTACAATACCTGATCAAAATATGTGGCAGTAGAGTTTTGTATTTCTCTTCTCTGTTTTAGATCGGCCTCAGTAGTATCACGTGACAACGCTACATATTCTAGCTCCCTTTGTGTCAGCTCCAAATATTGGAGTGCAACTTTCCGTCTAATAAAATAAGTTCACACTGAGATTGCAACTAACTTATATTTATCATAAAATTTCTTTATAATATGTGAAGTTCAGTCTTTGAGACTTGTCAATTAGTAATTTTTCACGATGGTAGAGCCACGCAGCAGCCTCGGCTCTTGGACGAATGGGCAGGCTCGTCCGGGTAAGTACCTCGACCTCGCATAAGACCGGCGTAAAGTGGAAATATAATACTTTTGCGTTTCGTCCGGTGAGTGAGGTGGCCGGAGGCTATTTTTCAAATGGTTGTCAACGCATCTTTTCAAATGGTTGTCGGACATCTGCTACACCCGAAGGTTCAAACCTTCGGGTGTAGCAGATGTCCATGGGCGGCTGTATTCACTTAACATCAGGTGAACCGTCTGATCTCTTGGCAACTTTTCACATAAAAAAAACCATGAGAAATAAATTAATTAATGCATGGTTTAATTTAAGATTACATTTTATTCAGAATTTTTAATTGGTGTTACAATACAAATTATAAAGAAATATTACATTTCATACTCACCTGCTGGGACCTGGCCTCCCAAGCAAAAACATATCCTGACCAAGAGAATCTTTTTGCATCATCCATCTTAAGTTTCTGAGTGTACTTTGTGATAAAAATTTTAATTCTCTGCCCTCTATTGATACTTAAAATTAAATTGACATAACATATAAAAGTGTTAAATCTTTCATTCTAATATAATAGTTTGAAGTAGTTGCCTTAATATAAAAATTACCCATAGTTATATTAAAATAATTTTTATAAAGCATGGGTCACCCTTTATAACAAGACAAAAAATTTCAAAACTTAGGCAATGTTTATTTATTAATTTTGAACTTTTTATTGATTGAAGACTGCTTTGATAAAATACATCTTGACGTAAATTTATTTTTAGTTCACATTTGTTTTATTATGTGTATATTTTATTATTTTATAGAGATCATTCCATTGCATATAAAGCCGTATTTAAAGATTTTTTTTAAATAATGGTCTCTAGATAATAACATTGATTATAGAAAAAGACATACACTCCAAATTTAAAAATGCAAAATACTCATAAAAACTAAATATGGGATTCATACTTTATTTCAAAATATTAAATTAAAAATTTGATGTAATAGAAAAATAGGTAATTATTTAGAATATTTTTTTACTTAATTTCGTAATTTACAATAAATTAGGTTCAATATTTATTAATTTCAAACTGATAGGTTGGGTTTCTACATTTTTGTATACTAAGATGTACATTGTGGGGCGACTTCACTAATACAGGCTACTTAAAAACATTGTTATTAATTAATTTACCTATATTAGGTTCAAAGTTTGTTTACTACAAACTAATAGGTTAAGTTGTTAGGTGTACAATTTTATATATAAGGGGCCTAATTTCTAATTATTATTTTCACAAAATCTTTATGTCTTCACATATTTTTGCTTCGTTTCTTTCGAATTATTATTTCGGTGGTGTTTCTCTGTTGATTTATAATAAATTTGTACGACGAATCGTGTTTGCAGCTATCGTAAACGATTAGATAAATTAAATGTGCAAGGAGAAAAAGCAATTGTTAATATGACTTACTGTATTTCCGAGGGACATATTCGACATTTTTAGGAGCTGTGATTTCTCTGGTTACGTCCCCAATAGTCACTTTACCTTCGCTAGAGAAAGTCCTAACATAATTTACATGTAAAAAGTTTTTGCGACCACCTAAAATACGAATTAAAACATCTATTCGTCGAACTGTATTTGCAGGATTATACATGATTTTTTCTTTACACAATTAGCTTTACAATACAGTTGTGTTCAATATTGATACATTATTTCATAACTTTAATTTTTACACTATCTTTAAGTTATAAAATGACAATAAATAAAAAGTAGAGTTCGAGTTAAAAAAGTTCAAAGTCTAAACAGTAATTTGTCAAATTGACGCAACACAGCTGTTCGTTAAGGTGCGTTCACATTATTTCTCAGACTTTTTTTAATGTGAAAAGTTGCCAAGCCGGCAGGCGGTTCACCTGATGTTAAGTGAATACCGCCGCCCATGGACATCTGCTACACCCGTGGGTTGCACAAATGCGTTGGACAACTTTTTGAAAATTGAGCTCCGGCCACCTCACTCACCAGACGAAACGCGAAAGTATTATACTTCCACTTTACGCCGGTCTTCTGTGAGGTTACTTCGGTGATTACTTACCCGGACGAGCCTGCCCATTCGTGCAACAGCCGAGGCTGCTGCGTGGCTCTACCACCGTAAAGAGCTGACCCAAACTCATGATGGCATTGCATTGAAATTTACCGTATAAAAATTGTTAAAACATTATATTGAAGAATCAGTTTTACATTTGTAACAGGTCTAAGGAGACAAATTACTTTCATAGTGAGCAAATTGGATTCCAAGTAAATTTGATTCCTTTGAAAGCCTCAGAGGCATATCCTCAATCCTCGGGCAGAATCTCAGCTGATGCGGGCTCGTCAACGGTTACCTTATCTGTAATAAATAAAATCCATTCCTAATATAGTACCGCGAGTGCTATGTTTACAACAGTACCGTATTTATTATTATATATGTTTTATCTACGGTTTACAAGCCAAAATGTCCTCCAATTATGCCCAAACTAGGTCTACGTGGGTTAGAACAAAAAGAACTAACTATGTGGAATGGAAAAGGAGGGGTATGAGATCTAACTACTTCGGGATGATTTATAGAATAGAGTATAAGGGGGAGGCACGAACCCATCATCGCTTGAACTCAGTCACTTAACAGTGCTTCTCCATTATGACTGAGTTGTATTAAAAAAAACAATTTTACACTAACATTTATTTACTAACCACCATTAAAATGTTAAAGCAAAAATGATCATTAGTTTGTAAAAATGTAAAATGATCACTTATTTTATGGATATCTATTTTTCGAACCGCATCATAAACTTTGTTATATAGCAAAAACATAACAGAACAAATAAATATCTGTTATAAGGCTCCAATATGTCGGATAATGAGACAGAAATTACACATAATGAAATAAAAATGTTTGTAATAAAGAAATCAGAAAATAATAATAATAATAATAATAATATTTTTATTTTTATTTATAAACCCAACCAGACGAGAAAACAAATGAATATCCCCCCAATAATAATAATAATAATAGGCAAAAAGGCATTACACAATTTTCTGATTGGATTATTTTCATTTTAATTCCTTTGTAAATGAAATTACAACACAAAGTTATGGGTATTTAACCTATAGTCATTACTTAAACAAATTTCGAACCATGTGAAAAAACATTATCGAACTGGGGATATATCATGCGTTTCTCTGGTTCTCCGCATATTTCTGCTGAAAATCTATATAAAAAGTTAAATAATAGTGCCTAAAATAATGGAAAACCTTCAACATTTATTACTTATATTAACAAAAATTCTATTTAATCTTGTTAATATTACTAAAACCATGTAACTTATTTGACTTTTATGTATCAATTTATTTCTTAATTTTTAAATTGGTAATGAGCGATTTGTCAAATGTTGTAAATGTCAAATGTTTGTTATAAAACTAACTATCCTAGACAAATCGTAAAAATATTCTAAAGATCTAAAGACAGAAAATATTTTGTTAGTCTACAAGATAGTTTATCCCCATCAGCCTATCACATCGTCTGAGGCCCACTCTCCAACACGAGCCGCTTGTGGCTCAAACGTAGTAGGCGGTCCATCTTGACGCCACCCTTTCTATCACTTTCCCCTAACCTTCGACTATTAGGTCTCCCCAGCCAAGGTTTCCCTTCTGACTGAGGTCTAATGATACCATTGACTAATTCGACTCATTCTCATCATAGGGTTCGATCTTAACGCTGACAAAATCCGTCGGCTCCAATTCCACTTCAGTCGCGATGGCCTCCTGTTTGATGCTGACGTTCTCAATCTCCACCTCTCTCTTGCCATCAGCTGTGTCGTCGCGATTCTCATTATAGTATTTGTAATCCTCCTCAGCTGACTGTTCGTCTTCTCTAGCGTCCTCCCGCGAGTCCTCCTCTGTGTTTTCTCCGTCATCTTGGTCGTTGCTCTGGCTGTTGTTGAAGTTGTTGGCGAAGGTTACGTAGTCGCCAATCAGGATATCGGTCATCACCTTCTTGGGCGGCCCAAAGATGCTTGTCATGGTCTCCTCGTCCAGACCCAATTGGCACTCCCTGGGGTCGAGCTTTTTAAAGAAGTCCTTTATGTTGATCTCGGTGCCTTTTAGACCGTGACGCTTGCGCAGGTGCTTTATCATAGTTCTCTTGATGGCGTAGGACTTCTGGCAGCACTTGCACTGGAAATCATCGAGTGTGTAATTAGTTAAGAATTGGAGGATTTAATTCAATATATTCGAGCGACCCTAACAAATTCGAGACCCCATTTTTTTTAGTAAGTTATTAAGTATTAATAGCTTAAACGCAAATGACAGAAGGCGACCACAGAAAATATATACCCATCGTTGTTGCAAAGACCTATATATATTCAATGCAACTATGTAAGCAGATAGTAGCAGATCATCTCATTAAACAACTGTGACAGGATAATTAAATAACTATAATATTTTTTGTCACCTGCAATCATCCACTTCTAAAACTATTAGGCAATACGAGTCCTTTCTCGCCGAGAGCGTGACTATCCAACGAAGAGTCGTACACACACACACACACACACACACACACACACACACGCACGCACACGCACGCACACTCGCGCGCTCGCACGCACTACAGCACTCACGTGGAAGAGGTTGACGGCGCTGTGCGTGAGCACGTGGTGGCGAAGGCCCGGCGCGCTGGTGAGCAGCTTGTGGCAGAGCGGGCACGTGTGGTGCGCGCCGGTGTGCGTGGTGCGCAGGTGGCGAAGCATGTAGCGCTCGTCCTGGTACTTGCGGTCTGCGGTACGAAACAGATTTTTTTTGTTTTAAAAAACATGGCCCTTAAGTTATCCTGTATAACATTAGCCTGTTAGGGACGTTTGACAAACATAAATTTCACATGGACGAACACCCAGATGCGAAACAATTATCTGTGGGCCGCACAAATAGTTGTCCCGTGTGGGAATAGAACCCATGACCCACGACGCCGAAGCCAATACCTTGGCACGGAGCCACGGAGTCCTCAAACGTACGTTAATCGACTACGACCGGTTTCATATTCTATCTATCTGTATATTTGGTTACCAGCGATAAGTATTTCACATCAGCTCCATAATACTCACGTCAAAATTCTATCTCCAGTAAATCTAATCCACAGATAGCTAGAATATTGAAACCGGCTGTAAACCGATACGATGACAGATAACACGCCTCATTTTAATGTCAAATATGGTAAGCTACGCGTATACTACAATGTTCTTTATTACAGACAAACATATCTCACTGGTTAAATTAAATGATATTTATGAAATTTCGTAACGAGATAAAATTCTAACTCGTAGTTAAATTTAAAAATATGCGATGGTCGTTCAATACAAGTTTTCCCTATCTACGGTATATCTATCTATAACGAAAGCCACTTAAATTGTAGACTTGCTTTTACATAGTATCTATGTATTAGCTATCTAGTTATATGGCAGATAACAAAAGAGCTAACATGTAAAATGGGTAAGTGTGGAAAGTATGATTTAATTTATATTTTGTTAAAAGTGGTAAGTGATCAAGATGTTCGGTATTAGCCTTGTGTAAATAATATACACGACACTGGGTTTGTAACAGTTAAACGCTTCAGCGTAAAGTTACCTCAACCGCGGAAATCCAATAATATATGTATGTGCATCTATTGATTAAAAGAAAAACCATAAATGGTTTTATCTGAAAAAGTAAGGATGAAAATCATACTTACCACAGAGCGGACACTTGACCAGTTCCTTCTTCGCGATATGTATCTTCATGTGTTCGCGTAATGCGCATCCGCTGGTGAACAGTTTCGAGCAAACAGGGCACGTCTCCAGATCTGCAACGAAGCAATATAAATTATACCTTCTTTCTTTGCGGTAAGGTTCAATATTGGTCAACACTACTCACTCTCTCCAGTGTGCTTTCTGATGTGGTAAGTAAGCTTCGACTTCTGGACGAACGTCTGACCGCAGTAGAGACAGGCGAATGACGTCTCTTTGGAATGTGTTCTGTAAATAAAACCTTATGAAACTAACTATCCGTATATTTATTTCTTTGACCGTATTAGTGTAATTTGTTGTTTATTTTTTACAAAACTATTATACAGTTTAACTAGTTTTTACATCTATATTTGTCAACGAGACACACTTTCATACTTTGTACTTATTGCACAATCAAAACAACTTAAGAGTTGCCTTATTGCCTTGGAGAGCTGGCGTACGAATCGCCTTAATCTCTTAGGGATGTTTGTACCAGACGTGCTAGTTGACTTAGCTTTGGGGAGCGTATTACCTGACGTGCTATTCGACTTAGTGTCTTGCGGGGTATTTGCTCCCGATTTGCCAGTCGCCTAAGTGTCTTGTTCGGCGTAATACCTGACGTAATAGTCTCCTTAGTCTCTCTCTCTCTCTCTCTGTTCGGGGTAATAAACGACGAACTAGTCGCCTTAGTGCCTGGGGGGGCGTAATATTTAACGCAATAGCCAACTTAGTGTTTTGGGGGCATAATACCTGACGTGCCAGTCGTCTTAATGCATTGGGGTGTGTTTGCGCCCGACATGGTAGTAGCCTCAGTGTCTCGAAGGGCGTTGTACCTGACGTGCTAGTCGCCTTAGTGGCGTAGGGGGCGTAGTCTCGGGGGGCGTAGTACCTGACGTGCTAGTCGCCTTAGTGTCGTAGGGGGCGTAGTCTCGGGGGGCGTAGTACCTGACGTGCTTGTCGCCTTAGTGTCGTAGGGGGCGTAGTCTCGGGGGGGCGTTGTACCTGACGTGCTAGTCGCCTTAGTGTCGTAGGGGGCGTAGTCTCGGGGGGCGTTGTACCTGACGTGCTAGTCGCCTTAGTGTCGTAGGGGGCGTAGTCTCGGGGGGCGTAGTACCTGACGTGCTAGTCGCCTTAGTGTCGTAGGGGGCGTAGTCTCGGGGGGCGTAGTACCTGACGTGCGAGTTGCAGGCGCCCTTGTCGGCGAAGGTGCGCGGGCAATGCGGGCACGCGTAGGGCCGCTCGCCGGTGTGCCGCCGCTCGTGGCGCAGCATGTTCGAGCGCTGCACGAAGCGCATCGGGCAGTACGAGCACGCGTGCCGCGGCCCCTCGTGGATCTGCACGTGCTCGCGGAACGAGTCCTTCTTCTGCGAAGCGGTTAGGCGAAACGCGCGCGTTAACGTCCGCGCACGTGAACGCAAACGCAAACGTCTCGCGGCGTTAGAGCACCGCCCTCGCGATACCATTTGCATCCAGTTAAATAAGTGATTTATCGTTTGTTAGAAATACATGTTTAATTTGAAGCCGGCGCGCTACAGAGATGAGTTGTGAGAACTAAGCTTGACTTTTAATCACGACAGTGGCGATAAATATGGTTTCAAACAATGTGAACGCACCGTAGTGTGACTAAATCGGCGGGTTCACGTGTCAAATCAAATAATACCATACAACTTTCCCTCACCATGAACACCTTGCCACAGTATGAGCAGGTGAAGCTCTGCTTGTTGGGCGCGTGGTCCTGCCGGTGCATGTACAGCGAGGACTTGTACTGGAACGACTTCCCGCAATCCGCACACTCGTACGGATGGCGGCCCGGGTGGCGCAGCAGGTAATGAAGTTTCCTGAAACGTAAAGGAACTTAGCCACGGGACCGTATACAGCCGGAGAGAAACTTGGCACATTGAACTAAAGTGGTCGGGCTCGCTCTAGAATTGTCAATATTTAGCCGTTAATTTGAACCATCAAGAAATATTCGATATGAATATCGTAACAGAAACGATATTTTTCAAATTCAAATCCTTGAACTTGACATACATAGGTACTTTTTTTTTTGGACAACGGGGCCTAAAAACTAAATATCAATATATGTATTTCGAAGCCGATTTGAAATTTTTATAAATATATATTTCTTCACTTTCGACATCCCTAGCGAAAACCAGTGTCGGGCTCAACTCAGAACAATTATAGTTTCTGTATCTCTACTTTTATTGAGGCCCCCGCATTTCACGGTGCTATGCTGCAACATAGATTTTCATTTATTTTTAATCATTTTGTATTTATACATTTTCCACGTAGCAGCCTCGGCTGTTGCACGAATGGGCAGGCTCGTCCGGGTAAGTACCGAGACCTCACAGAAGACCGGCGTAAAGTGGAAGTATAATACTTTCGCATTTTGTCTGGTGAGTGAGGTGGCCGGGGCCCAATTTTCAAAAGGTTGTCAACGCATACGCGGGTGTAGCAGGGGTCCGTCCGTCCGAACCGTCTGCTCGATTGGCAACTTTTCAAATAAAAAAAATAAGTAGGTAGGCCGTAAATAAACGTGTTCCTCTATTTTTTCTAAAAAATTTAATGTTAAATCTTAAGAGCAGAGATTAGCACTATAAAAAATTTAAATTTCTAAAAAGCAATGGCGACATCTCTCGTTCGAATTATCGTTGTAAAACGATAGTCGAAATCGTTTGTATGCTGGAAAGGATATAACAATGGATGCACAATTGGACAAATGCACATTGCTTCAAACGCTAAAAAAACAATGTAGATGATCATTTATTAAGTTTAGATTAAGTTTCGTTATTCGTCAAGATTTTCTACCGCGAACGCCGAGGACGCGGGTTCGATTCCCACAGCGGCGGGAATCTTTCCGTACTGTCTCTACAAAATTCAACGTGTCCCCCCCCCCCCCCCGTTCCGCTCACCTCTCGTCGAGTGTGTGCAGCACGTCCCTGCACAGCTTGCACTTGAACTTGCCGGGGCCGTGCACCTGGGCCATGTGGGCGCCGCACGCGCGCGAGCTCGCGAACTCTCGCCCGCACACCGCGCAGCTGACCGCCTTCTCGGCGCGCGTCGACGGGTTGTGAATCGTCTGGGGAACGGAGGGCGCATTGGAACACATTTAGGGTTCCGTACCCAAAGGTTCACGGGACCCTATTACTAAGACTCCGCTGTCTCTCGTCTGTCTCTTGTCTCTTGTCAGTCTGTTCCCAGACTGTATCTTACTGACGAACGTTCTTAGGGTTCCGTACCCAAAGGTTTACGGCACCCTATTACTAAGACTACGCTGTATGTCTATTCGTCTGTCCCCTAAAGAACGTGAGGCGCGTTGACAAACTTTTTTAGGGCTCCGTACTAAAAAGGGTAGGGTGAAACGGGACCCTATTACTAAGACTCCGCTGTCTCTCGTCTGTCTGTTCCCAGACTGTATCTTATTGACGAACGTTCTTAGGGTTCCGTACCCAAAGGTTTAAGGGACCCTATTACTCAGAGTCCGCTGTCTGCCTGTTCGTCTGACTATATTTTTCTTTATGCGACCTTTTGTTGCGATGCAGGCGGTTCACCTGATGTTAAGTGAATACCGCCGCCCATGGACATCTATTACACCCGAGGGTTGTAGATGCGTAGACAACCTTTTGAAAATTGAGCTCTGGCCACCTCACTCACCAGACGAAACGCAGAATTGTAACACTTCAACTTCACGTCGATCTTCTGTGAGGTCGTGGTACTTATCCGGACGAGCCTGCCCATTCGTGCATCAGCCGAGGCTGCTGCGTGGCCCTACCACAGTGAAAATGTATCTCGTGAACCGTGATAGGTAGACAGTTGAAGTTGCTCAGTGAGCCGTGATAGCTTAGTGTACCAGCGCTCGCCTTTAATTCAATTTACTCGACCAACCGAGTTCGAATTCGATCTCCGGTGTCAGCACCAATGAAATTTTTAATTTTAAGCGCTGACTTATCACGTGCTCAGCTGTGAAGCAAAACATCGAGATCCTACATATTTTCAAAATAATAACAAAAATAATATTTCGAAAATATGTGAAGTCCGCCAACCCGCAGCGGGGTCGCGTGGTGGACTATGCCCTATACCCTCTTTACAGAGGTGGAATTTGCCCAACAGTGAGATATTTATAGGCTGTTACTTTATTTTTCTACTTTTGCTTGCAATTTAACATATAAAAATGTCATTACGCACCACACTACTTCCTATAATCATTGTAACATGACTTTAGTGTTTCCCTTATGTGCAATGTGGTTTCTGTGCCGTATTTTCTTACCTTTACGTGAAGTTTAAACGATTTTCTATGGCTTAAGGGCTTGTATTGGCACATGTCCAAAGAGCAATACACCTTCCTCGCTTCGGGATGCTCCTCCAAGAAATGGCTCCTCATCTCGTCGATATTCGGTAATACAATGCAGCAGAGGCAACACTTCAGTAAATAGGTTGTCATCTTGTTAGCAAAGTGCTTCTCCAAATGATGGTGTATGAACCACACCTGAAATAAAACTCATATTAAGAATATAGTAATGGATGCAAACAGTTAGTCTTGAAAAAAAAAATACCAACTATTTTATACTGTTTCATAATACAGCGGCATGATATTTGAAAGGTTGGACACCGAAGAGTAAAATTAAAACTTTCTATTTAAAGCACCTCTTTCAGAAACAATAACAGCCCATCATTTAGGAGATAATGTACACTACATTTGAAATATTAAGCATACCTTATCGCTGAATATTTCCGAACAGCTTTCGCATTTATAAAACTGGTCCTTATATTTGCTGAAATGCGATCTCACTTGGTGGGATTCGCGGTCGTTCTCGTTCCAGAACAGAGTGGGACAGAATCTGCACTTGAAGCCGAGATGGGGGCTGAAGCAGTTGTCGTACTCCATCACCTCCCAGTGCTCGGTGAGGTGCCTCCTGGTGGCCTCGCGGTTGTCGAACTCCTTGTCGCAGAACTGGCAGATCCAGAGGTCGTCGAAGTTGCCCAGCTCGATGGCCACGTGGGACTCCAGCTCGGCCTGGTTGTCGAACGTCGACGCGCACACCCTGCAGGTGTACAAGGGCACCAGTTTCACGCAGTGCATCTTGTTCATGTGCATAGTGAACGCCTGCGTGTTCTCGTACTTCGAACTGCACAGCGGACAGTCGACGTCCATTATGATGCCGGACTTGTCGTCCTCGTACTCTATGCAGGAGTTCTCCGGCATCTGGTTGCAGTTTATGTCGTTCGTGGTCCGATTCACGTAGTCGAAGTAGCACTTCTCCAGGACTATCAGCTCCGTTAGCGTCACGTCGAAATCCTCATCGCCCTTGTAATCCTTGTGGGGGTCCTCTGGGTCCACGTTAGGGTCCGCTTTAGAACTATCCTTTTTGCTCTCATCATTGTCACTGGCCGTCTCTTGTTTTATTTCAGTCTTCAAATAGTTCAACGCGTCGCCACTACTGTTGCTGGATTTGTTTAGACCTTCCAGCGGTGTCTTGTCCAGATCCACGTAGCCGTATCGGATCCGCCCCTGCAGCTGGCCGTCGATGAAGTGGGCGCTGACGTCGGCGCCGTTAACAGTGAACGGTGGGTCCCGGCCGGATATCAGACTAGTCAGACATTTGATCGTGAAATGGTGATAGCCCATGTAATGGGCGAAGAACGTCGAGCTGAGATTGTTGGGCTTCGAGCAGAGGAGGCAGATGAACTTCGTGGTGCCTTCGTAGTCGAAATCCCACAGCACCTCTTCATCTTTAATGAGAACGTTGGTTACGTTGTGCTTTTGGAACAAATGCGTGTGGTACTGTTCGTCGTCGGGAAGCCGGAAGTGACAGAGGCGACAGTGGACAAGATTGTGTACGCTGCTAAGGTGTTGGCGTAAAGTTATTTGGGTGGGGAAATTCGCGATGCATTGCGAGCAGGGCCAAGGAATATGAAATTTTACATGCGCCTGCCATGCCTGCCTATCTGGCACAAAGTACCTGGAAAAAAGTAATAGCATGCATTGCAATAACAGCCTTCTTACAGTTGTTTAGTAATTGTTATAAGTAAATGTAAAGTTCATCTGGGTAAGTACCACAACCTCACAGAAGACCGGCGTGAAGTCGAAGTATCATACTTCTGCATTTCATCTGTTGAGTGAAATACCCAGGTCCCACTTTATTATATACATAAAGGTGGCATTGCATCTGCAACCTTACGGGTGTCGCAAAAGTCCATGGGCAGTGTTCATGACTTAACTTCTGGTGAAGCACCAGATAGTTTGCCACCTTCGCACATAAAAATAACAATGATGTACTTCTACATTGTACTGTAAATTATAATTGATGAATTGACATGAAATATGACATGTGAGACACATCAATTTATCTACATTTAGGTTATACATTACGATTTTTTTTAATGTAGATATTAATTACATGTGTAAGTAAAAATAAAACCTTTTGTTTCTTGATATGTAATATAACATTACACATCATGAAACATCGGCCAGGTGTGGGTTAAAATTTTGTCTATCAGAAGATGTTCAACTTGTGTTATCCAATGCTAAACAAGTCAAAAAGTCTTTGTCATAGGATCCCGTTTTACCCTTTTGGTGGGACTGCAGTATGAAAGTTCTTAGAAAATAGATATACATAATAGATAAAACAAAAACCCCTTTTTAGCTTGACTGCAGTTAGACAAGTAGTTAAATTACAGAAAAGTTAAAATAAGAATAACTCCATATTATCATACCATTTTATAAAACTTATTGAGTTCTACATATGAAATGCATAATACTTAATAATAGTAATTTGAAAAAACTTTTAGTATGCATGTTATTACATTTATAACAGAAGTCTTTCTAGCATGTTAAAATCACACACCTGAGTATGAGAAATCTCTTTACTCTAAAATAACTTAATTCTCAGCACCGTCGTAGAGGATTGCTTAGACATATTATGTAAAATAAAATTGCATGAGCAGAGAGAGAAACATACCAATTACCATTTTACAGTGTTCTTACCTACAGATGCCGCAGAAATCTTTTTTATGGTTTAAAACATAATGCATAATCATTTTAGAGCGATTAATGAACCAATCGGAGCACAACAAGCAACTGTAAGGTCCAGCTGGGTTTAAATCTTTAAGATAAAGCCAAACGTCTGTCGGTCGCTCTATTATGGGCGGCGGAGGTAAGGTTCTTTGCTTCCTTATTTTAATTGTAATGCCTAGTTTCTTAGGAGTAAGTGACTTTCTTTTTCTTTTCCTAGGTTCAATGCTGGCCACTTCGGAAACATTTTCGACAAACTTTTCTGGGTTCAATTTTTTTGCTGCCGCTAAAACTGACAAAGGCTCATCGTCCGAATCCTCGGATGCCATATTTGCCGTTCGATGCGAAATTCAAATTACAAATGAAACTTAATTTTATATTGAAACAAGAACATTTAATTTAATATTGTCACAATAACTTATCGATATTGTTATTGACACAATAATGTTGCCAAATTCCTAATACGGCACAATTCAAATATAGCTTATCTTATAGCATTTTGTAAGCTTTGTTATTTTAAATAAATAAGTTTTTTTTATGTTTTTTGTCTTATATGGACAGGCTTAGAATACAGAAAGAGCTTTGCAATAAAAATAAATATTAATCTTAAAAGCAACATTTATATGATGAAACCATAGTGCACGTTTTTTTAGTAAAAATATATTTGCTACTTTGTATGTACGGATTTATTTTCCCAAAAACCTACAGAAATCGATTTAGGTAAAAATTGTGGTATAATTTGACACACAATCAACGTTTTGAGGGTTTTGACTATAATTGATTAATAATAACACAAAAACTGGCGTTAATAAAAATATTTAATTATAATGATAGATATAATGACCTTGCTTTAATAACGTAGATGATTTTTTAAATAAATGACTTCAGGTAGTAGTTAAAAATTACTTAGTTCTAATTTAGTTACAGTCAACAAGTATGTCAATGAAACTGTGTAAAATGGAATACAGACTAAAAAGTCTCATATCGTGGCAGCCATTTTATAGAAACCAATGTGTCTATGGCCTGAGCCAAAGAAAGGTGAAGCTAAACAAAAGGGTAGCATGTAGATAGCGTTTATTTAATTATAAATAAAATATACTTACGAACCGACTTATTAGACGTACATATACATTATGAGTTAGTGAATTTTAAATATGTAATATGTGTGAATGATATAGTTTATTGGAGTGAACCACAATGCATCGTGTAATGGTGGCCATTAGGAGTAATAATTATGTATATTGGCATACTTACTTCTTTACGGACCATAAAAAATACATCTAAAAAGAGACTGTAACATATTTGTTCAGAATTGACACTTAACATAATGTAAAGAACGGTATTGTTTGTGATATGTGAGTGAAAGAATATTACCCAGTGTAAATAGCCCATTATATTACCATGGCCCAGAATCAGGGGGAGGTTCAAGTGGGAACACCGAATCAACCCGTGAAAGACAAAGATATTTATGCTTGTTTACCTGATATGCGAGTGAATGGTCCTTTAGGACCTGATGAACCGTGTCCCGGTGGTGAAGAATTACGTTGGCTGCCAGCTCAGGCGACAGATCGTGACCTTGTTATGTACTTACGTGCGGCCCGCTCAATGGCAGCGTTCGCTGGAATGTGTGACGGTGGCTCTCCAGATGACGGCTGTGTAGCAGCTAGTCGTGATGACACTACAATCAATGCACTAGACGTTTTACATGACTCGGGTTATGACCCTGGACGAGCTCTACAAGCACTGGTTAAGTGCCCTGTCCCTAAAGGTATTGAAAAAAAGTGGACGGAAGAGGAAACAAAAAGATTTGTCAAAGGTATCCGTCAGTTTGGTAAGAATTTTTTTAAAATTAAGAAAGATTTACTGCCTCACAAGGATACTGCGGAGCTTGTAGAGTTTTATTATCTGTGGAAAAAGACCCCTGGTGCTAGTAGCAACAGACCTCATAGAAGACGTAGACAAGCATCATTGAGACGAGTTCGTAATACACGAAATTCTAGAGCAGGCACACCTAAGGAACAAACACCAGAAACTACTCCAGTGCCTGACACAATTGGCTCACGACCTTCACCTAACCCTAAAGAGGCTGGAGAAATGAGTTCTGTAACTGAAGATGAAAATTCTGAGGAAGACAGTGATTCACGGGATGCAGGAGACTTGGCTAGAAATAGACAACAGTCGAACAGGAGATAGCCCCGAAGATTCACCTAGTAGGATGCGCACAAGAAATAAGTCTAAGGAACAAACAACACCAAATGGAAGAAAAGGACAAGATGAAAGTGACAATGATTCCAAACCTAAGAAGCCTAATAAAAACACAAATAACAATATAACTGTACAAAGTACAAATAACAATGTAACAGAAAAAGTATTGTCATCCCCAGTCAGCAAAGAGAATAAAAAGAAAGTTGCCAATGGTAAAGTTGATGTATCTAAAGTAAAAAAGAGGCTACCCGATGACACAAAAATTGAAGGAATTATGGATGGTGATGTACAAATGAAAAAGAAAAAGGCTAGTGATCCTCCTGAAAGTCCTTCGGAGAGTTTAACAAATGACAGTTTTCCAGCAATGGATGAAACAGAAACTGTTGAACCAGAACCAGAAGCTTGTGACTTTAGCTTTAATAAGACTGACAAGGAAAATTCGGAACAAAATAAAGACTCTGAAATTGAGCAAATAATCAAGCCCATTGAGCAATTAAAGCCAGATATCTGTAATGAGCTCGCAAATAAAAGTGATAAAGATCCATTACCACCTATATTCAAAGTGGTGTCTGAAAAAGAGGACAGAAACATACTTGATTTGAAAACTGAGTCTAGTGGCTCCAAGAATATAGAAAATATTGAACCAAGACCTCATACAATATTTCCAAAAACTGAACTTATTATACCTAAAGTTACCCCAATGTCTTCAGAGGTTTTGGAGAAAATTAAGATTAAAGAGGAAATAGACGCAGATGATCAATCACTTAATTTACAAAAAGATGATTTCCAGAAAGACCCACTTTCACATAGTTTTACTGGACTCCCTCTTAACCAACAAAATAAACCTTTAAATTTAGAAAACACAAACTTTTTTGTTAAGGACAGTCATATTTACAATCCTAAATTAAACCACAATATTAAGATTGAAGGAGTGCCTAATAGTATTTTCAGCCCTGTTAATATTTCAAAAGAAAGTTCTATAATTAGAAATCCAAAAGACTTTGTTAGTGGTATGCCACAATTTTCATATCCGCCTAACATTAATTATACCAGTGATCCTAATAAACACAGCCCTCACATAAATCCACTGAAGACTGTTATTAAACTGGAGCCAAGAGATGAGACCAGTGACATGAAAAGTCAGAATACTCCAGAAATATTTACAGCCACTATATCTACAGCAAATAAAGTGGACTCTCCAAACACACCACGACTGGATAGTTTGCAAAGGATAAGTCCATCTCCTACAAATGCTAGAGGTCCATCACCATCACACCTTGAACATTCAAGTAATACTAATACTGAACCTATATCTCCTGCTCATTCTCAAGAGAATAAATCACATGATGCAGATATTGAAGACAAGCAGCCAACTGATTTGAAAACTCAACCATCAAAACAAGATGCACAAAACTCTGGTTTAAGACAACCTATGTTCCCAACTCCTATCAGACCTGAGAATCTTGGAGTTAGACCCACAGAACCATCAAATATTCCTGTATCAGGGCAAAGTATGCCCCCACCATCCCTGAGCCAGCCATCTATAACTAGTTTACTGCCACCAGGACCATTAATATCTGTGGGAAGTGGTTCAAATGTTGGACCATATGGGTTTATGCCTTCACCAATGTACGGCCATCCAGGTCATCCTGGTTTAGATAAACCAAGCTCGATGCCACAAATGATGCAACAAATACCACAAAGTCATGGTCATCAAGGAAATAATATGATACCTCCACCATCAAATCCAAATGATCCATCGATGCCACAAGACTTAAAGATAAAACAAGAAATACTGGATGTGCCAGCAAATCTATCCACTCAAAATGTTGCTGATCCCCTACAATCACTGAAGGAAGTAAAAGTGCCAGGCTATCCTATTGGAAGTGCTATAGCCCAACACTTAAGCTCGGAAAGAGATAGAGAATCAATGTCAAGTGTTGAAAACAACAGCAGACCTCCGAGCCAACCAACAAATGAAAACACAAATATGGCAAGTGCATTCCTCGGACCAAGAATAGAAAGTATTAAAAAGGAACCAGATTTTTTACATCAACCTCATATTACTCCAGTATCGTCGAGTCAAGTAAGTGTGTCAGAGTCAAGCAATGCAATACCACCAGTGAAAAGCCCTCACACGCCTACACCAATAAAAAGTCAACCTTCTCACAATGGTACGCCTGGTCATGGCCAACATCCATCTGCAACAACGTCTCCATTTTCGAGGCATTTAACGAGCCCATCGCAGCCTAGACAAATATCTGCATCTCCCGTTCAACCAAACACGCCAGTGTCTCATTCGGCACTAAATTTAATGAACCACTCACCATTATCAATACCTTCTACAATACCAGGTCCAGTAATGCATTCAGGTCAACAACCGGGCCCACACCCTCACCCATTCGCTTCTCCTTTACATCATCCTCACCATCCCCTTCTTCATCCATCATCAATATTTCAACTTTCAGCAGCAGCAGCTGCTCATGCTATGCATCCTTATTATCCTCACCCGCATCCTGGTTACTCTATGCCATACCCATACCCATATGGACCACTTCCACAACCTCATCCTATACCTCCTATGCATCCCTCTTCAAGTTCATCAGGTAGACATGACCCAGGAAAACCGTCTACAATAGAGTCAACGACTATGCTCAGCGCTCATCATAGTACCAGTTCATCAGTTACAACAAGATCGTTAAGAGAGATCTCAGAAAGTTCTGATGACCCAAGAAATCCAAATGCAACGACCGAGAGGCATCAATTACATGAAACAACGATGACTCATCATCATTCAACTAGTCATCACAGTGCTGTTCATACAAGTACAGAAAAGCAACCAAACCATGCTGGGGGTGGGACAAATCACACCTTATCTATTTCTCATTCAACGTCGAGCAGTTCTTCACAGTCTATACAGCATAAAATAAATACCCAACAAAAAACCAGTGCACATTCTAGTTCACCTCACCATTTATCGGCCAGTGTGTCGCAGACTACTAGCCAATCCTCCAGTGTTAATGTGACCAATAACCATACTCATCATCATTCACATCACCTAGCACACCATCCAGAACGATTATCGCCGGCTGATTCAATGCTGCTCCGTCATCACCCAAAAATGCTACCTGGAAATCCAAATCATCTTATGATACAACCTCCATCGATGGGACACCCAATGGCTCTAGGATTACCGCCCGGCCCTGGGCCTAGCTCTATAGAGAGTTTACGATTGCACGCTCAAGCTGCAGCCGGATTACAAGCCTCACACGGAAGATCTGGCTCACCTCATCAAATGCCCCATGGACACCCGCACTTACGTGGTCCACCGCGACCAATGCCTGAAGAAAATCCAGAATTAAAGCTTGAAACACAATCACAGCCAGAAGAAGATGAGATTCCAAGCCCAGCGCACATACCTCACGGACCAAGCCCTGAACCAAAAATAGAAGATACAGAATGTCATAGATCACAGTCAGCTATATTCTTGAGACATTGGAACAGAGGCGATTACAACTCATGTACACGTACCGATCTAATTTTCAAACCTGTGCCGGAATCAAAACTGGCACGTAAACGAGAAGAACGATTACGAAAACAAGCCGAACGCGATAGAGAAGAAAGGGAGAAAATTGCTCAACAAGCTCATAGAAAAATAGCAACACCTGAGAAACCTGAAACAAAACCACCGTCGAGAGGTGCTATAGAAACAATAACATCGCCGTATGATAGGTTCCCTCGACCACCAGGATACCCCGACACACCTGCTCTTCGACAACTATCAGAATACGCTAGACCACATGCTGGTTTTAGTCCTGGAAATTTGCAAAGACATTGTATGGACCCAATGCTCCAGTATCAGCTAAGCTCTATGTATGGGGCTGCAGGTGCAAGAGAACGATTAGAACTGGAACATCTTGAACGAGAGAAGCGCGATAGAGAAATAAGAGAATTGCGAGAACGCGAACTCAATGACAGATTGAAAGAGGAACTTCTGAAAAATAACGTTGGCCCTAGAGGCTTGGACCCGCACTGGTTGGAAATGCACAGGAGGTACGGAATGCCACCTCCACCTCCCCAAGGAGCGATCCCTGTTCAATTTGGACTTTACCCCCCTGGACACGGACCTGCGTCGCTTTCTCAATTAGAACGCGAACGGCTTGAACGACTGGGCATCCCTCCGGGCGCGGCAGGGGGTCCACCGCAGAGCGTGCCCGTATCAGGAGCGCCGCCGCACCATCCGCACCATCCACACCCCGGGGTCGCAGCAGCGCAACTGGAAGCTGCGGAGAGGCTAGCACTGGCGGCGGATCCAATGGTGCGACTACAAATGGCTGGAATCAACCCAGAATACCACGCGCACACACATGCGCACACGCATGCGCATTCACATACTCACCTCCATCTCCATCCTGGCCAACAGGCGGCAGCACAGGCACAGCAGGATGCTCTGGGTCTTGGGCTCGGCGCTGGGGCGCCCTACCGGCCGCTGCCTCACCCTGACCTGCTAGGCAGGCCGTACGCCGAGCAGTTGGCGCAGCAAGCGGCTGCGCATGAGCAACTTCAGAGGCAGTTGCTACTGGAGAGGGAACGAGGCTTCCTTCACCCGGCCCACCACGAAGACTTCCTACGCCAACAGCGAGAGCGTGAGCTAAAGGTTAGAGCGCTCGAGGAAGCAGCACGCGCCTCGCGTCCGTAGTGCGCCGACTCGCGGACGGATGACAATGACGTTGTGCTAGTGGATTAACGGTAAGACTATAACATGTGAGGTGACAGTGGTAACAACCAGTTACAGAAGCATTTGTAATATATTTGAAAGTGTTCACAATCTAGTGCTACGAAAGTTACACAGGAACAGAGATTTTTTTTAAATGTGTAACATTACCTGTAATTTATATTTATAACTTATTTAAGTTTTATGATATTTTTATAGCTGCATGGTATATAGTATGCTTCTTCTCCATGCTCAAATTTTATTTCTTAACTACTAGTCATAACTAAAGTTTATTTGTGAAGAATGAAAGTCACACAATTTCACATGAATAATTTAGTCTAAATTATTTTCATATTTCCAATAAAGGGTGCTGGTAAAATATTCAAATGAATGTTTCATGTTACAACAATTAAGTTAATATTGTTATTATCATTACTAGTTTTCATGACATTAATTATGATATTATTTTAGCATAAAATGAAAAGATATGTAATGTGACTTGCCTGTATGGAATAACTTGCCTTTTATGGTCCCTAGCGAGATTACTAATTGTATAAGAAAACCTATTGCAGTTTAGTTTATTTTAAGTTGCTGGTGTTTGATGTGTTTGTATTTATGCTAAATGTACACCTTGTGAGTTTAATAATGAATAATTTTGTAATACGACTAAAAAAAGCAATAATAACAAGTCATAATATCAGTTATTGTTAAGAGAAATCGTAAAAATTGTAATTTTTTTTATTGTTTTTCATAATGTTGTAACACAAACTATGCTTAAACTAAATACATTATGTTAACATTCTACAATTTGAAGTACAGATGGAGGTAATGTAGGTCTACTACCTATACAACAAGAATGGCTCCCATGAAATTAGTGTATAGGTAATGTTGTCATAAACACCCAATTAATGTGTGGGGTTTGTATTTTAAGGTACTTATACAGTTTATGAAAGAATATCATGATTTAATGTCAATGATACTGGACATACTCTATATACCTACAAAGTGTGATGTTATTTTCATATAAAAGCTTTAATAATTACTCTGAAGGGGTAGTTGTTATTTGAAACCAACATTTTACTGTATATTGTTGTGAAATTAAATATTTTCAAAGCATCACAATAACACCTAGTAAATATTGCCATCAAATACTTTAAAAGACAAGAAAGTGTGTGAAACTTTGTTATGAAATGTATTTAAAATAAAATCGAAAACTGTTTTTTATCATCTGATAAGATCTTCAAATAAACAGTTTTGTAAATTAAATATTTTGTAATTTTCACAAAATGTTCACATTCAAATTATTCTATTGCACTGTAACTTGTATCATAGTTTCACTTGTAATAAATAGAACCCTGTTAGAGCTAACAAAAAATGTTATAGAATATTCTAGATTATAAATATATTTCACCATGTTGCTTGGTAGGTGTTATGTTGATAATGCCATAATTAATTTCCCATATTAAAAGAGAAATGAGTATTATTTTTAGAGACAAATTATATCTTTTTAATTAAGAGGTTGCGTGTTGGTTTAATCTTCATTTATTTAGACAATAAGGTTAAATGGATGTCTTAGTGCTTTTGTGTAAATTTTTTTGAAATAATATATGTGAAAAACACTTCCTGACTTTTAGTGCATATTGCAATTGTATGAATGCCCGCCGTGAATATATTATTATGGACTTAAATGTTAACATAAAAACCTTAACATTTAGTTGATTAATTATGATGATGGGGATTTAATTTTGTTATCTTATTTTAGTCACATCTTTATCTCGTTTCTGCATACATAAATTGGGCTCATTTTAAATTGTCATGTTCAACTTTATGGGACATCCTCCAATGACTATACAAATACTAGTGTTACGTAATCATCAAGGATTATTAAGCGATGATTTTGAATAGAATGGAAAATAAATGTTTATTTATCCAGGACGGAGTAATAGGAAGTAAGGTTCTTAATAGTTCAAACCCTAAATAAATAAAACTAATTCTTAAACCACAATCAATTTCTCGTAAAAGAGTCAAGTTTGTATTAAAATATACGCTTTTAAGATTAAAACTACAATTATAATCAGTATCACTAAATTTTGAAGGTAGACTGGACTATTTGTATTGTTACAAACTTTGAATCAGTCAAACTGAAAATTTTAAAAATGCAATAAATATTCAACGGGCATTATATTCGTTTCCAAGTGATTGATTGATCGATACGGCTAATGAGCCCGACCGCGGCGCATGGTGCAGAAAAACGTGGCGAGGGAAAGGACACGGTGAAATGGGCCTGACAAGCAACACCGGTTTGCTGTCGAGCGCGCCGCAAAAACCAATAGCGGCAGCCCGAAAGGTTGGTGATTAATTGGCAGCGGCGTGCATACGTCTAGTTGCGCGCGCGATCAGATTATCTCTAATTACGTTTGTCCTCATATTATCTTCGACGCGGCTTTTAATGGTCAATTCGAACCGCGTGCCTTTTTTTTTTTCATCTTAACATCATCTAAAATGGTCGTTTTATAGATAAACCCATAACACTTTGTTGTAATTTAATTTTATTATGGGAGAATGTGATCTAAATATGGAATGTAAACAGTAGGTATATATCGCTAATGTATATTTGACGACGGTTCTATCAAAGCTTCATAGCCATCTCCATAGCAACCCTATGAGAATTAACGTTACTATGGAAAAAAAAATGATCAGTGCATATTCCAGAGCACGGAAACAGATCATTCAATTAGGACGTGTATCTATCCATAGAGAAGCTTCATTAGTTAGCAGTGAGGGCATTATTATTTGTAACATCACTTGGAAGACAAGACGATGATCGTTAAAAGAAAACTTTCGTATTAATTATGTACATCACAGTCCAGCAATCGCGGCTCGTACTTACCAATGATGTTAAGTTTCGAAGCGAATGCATGTTTCTGTTACGCAGCTCATGCACGCATTTGCCTTTCTTTTATACCTATCAGAATGGACGATGATAGGTTACATCGCATTTCAATGAGCTTTTAAACGTATACGACTATACGTAAACGATACATAGGCCATCCTGTCATGGCCTTATCGTTTTCTGAATATGTACCTAATATAGTCGTGATAGCTCACTGTCCGGGCGGTCGCTTTTAATTCAATATACTCGAGCTAACTGAGTTCGATCCCCGGGGCACCAATTAAATTGTTAATTTTAGTGCTGACTTATCTCGTTCTAGCGGTGAAGCAAAACATCGTGAGGTAAACTATATATTATAAAAGTTTTCAATACGCAGTGGGGCCGCGTGGTGGACTATCCGGTAGATTTTTTGTTGACGTTCAATAAGAACTTAAGCCTATATTGAATAAAGATACTTTGACTTGACTTGACTATGTCCTAATACCCTCTATACAGAGGTGGCATTTGCCCAGCAGTGGGACGTAGGTATATAGGCTGTTACTTTTATCTAATTAATTTCTGAACGTACGAATTCCAAATGACATAAAACTCAATTTGATAACCGCACAATGTGATACCAACACTCGTCCCTCGCCACTGCTGCATCAACGATGATACTAAAACTCTCCTACCACTCCACTTCGGTTTCAGAGGATAGGAAGAATGACTCCCCCTCTACTATTCTCCACCTGTCTCCCGCACTCCCCTTGCATGCATACAGAGGAGAGCTGAATGAGTCCTGGCTATCGAGCCCCTCCAAAATGACTAGGCAACAAATGGTTACGATAAAGTTTGCCCAGTTTTCACGGTCGCTTGTATGGATTGTTATTTGCAAAACATTAACACACCTTTTGACCCGTTCCAGTTGACTCCGATGTCTTATTACAACGTCTAAAATTTTATGGGACTTTGTCCCAAAAGGCGACGTCTTTCTATGTTCAAATTTCTCTATAAGTAATCATGATAATATTGTTTCCTCTAATACGGTAGACATAGTAAAGTTCACTTGAAACTTCTTTAAGACGAACTTTTGGGCATCATGAATATTAACTTATACCACCTGCTGTGCCGTTTTAATGGACATCGAGTGGTCTTTTATAGATTAAAGTTGAATAATGTTTTATTCAGCATAGATTATTTATGTCTTTCTTATAAAGTATCAATTCTGAGTATGCTATTTTCACTTTATGGCCGGTGAATGTCATGGCTAACGGCGGGCTTATGGATTATATATCCGTTTTATATGGTAACTTGATAAAAAGCAGTGGTGGCATAGTGGCTGAGGCTTGACTCCTGCGGCCTCCTGAGGCCTGACTTGTTTTAGAAATAGGGTTCGTATTCCTGCAGTGTTTAAGTCTTGCAAGTTTGCGTTCAATTATTTCTTAGATCCGGCACATCAACTCTTACCTACCGTTACGATTTTGTTCCCTTCACCGTCAAGAACGTAGCAAATTACGAAATGAAATTGCGATATGGAGTCATATTGTCTTATAAATAATCTCCACTTTACTCTCGAACGAATTTAATGTCTGTTAAGTTTTAATTAACGTATCATTGGTGTCGGCATTGGGATTTGAACATAACTTATTCTTGTGTTCAGTAAAGAGCGGCAGGTCGAAAACATCATAAGCTTTCGGATAAAACTACGCTTGTCTTGTGTACATAAACTAAACTGCACATATGTCTACTTTAGTTGGTATTTACATACATTTGGTGGAACTCTATGGTACCACCGAAATGTGGAACAATTTTTATAGATTAAAAAGATATTTCTCTTGTTTATCACTGAAGCCAAAGCAAACTCCTCAACGAGCAAACGAATATTATGACTATCTGTCTATTTACAATTGGACATAATGTTGCAGACGACTAAAGAGCTGAAGTGCTCGGCACCATTCGTTCTTCGGCCTTGGATTCAGAAGGACAGGGACCCCCCACCCCTCACGCATACATCCAGAGGGATCTCGATGAGTCCTCTGAAAGGAGTCCTCTCCAAACCATAGCAATCGAATATTATAACTGTCTGTCTGTTTACAATGGGACATAATGTTGCAGACGACTGTAGAACTGAGATGCGAGGCAGGTCCCGCGCCATTCGTGCTTCGGCCTTATGCGGGCCTGTACAACCCGTTCTCGCATGGATGCTCGGTCCTCTGCAACCATCCCGCCGACACGGACGCAAAGGAGTTCGTGAGACGGGCAAAGGAGGCCTGGGTAAGTATGTCCACATGCCTTATAATCACATAGGTTATGTGGAATAACATAGTTTTACGATAGTAAGTAAACAAGGACTTTTTTTTTAATTTAGCTCCTTCAATTTAAATTAAGGCTAACGTTATTTCACACGAAAATAATAAAAAAACATGCTCATCTTTCCGACACAGCAAACACGGATTCGTTTTTAGTTGATAACTTTGTTCAATATTTGTTTCCCCCTTTTCAGGCTTTGGAAGGTAAGACTCATAATTTCCAAGAGGACTTGAGCAAGATTCAAGATGATAAGGAGAAAAACAGAACGCCGCACGACATTGTTACCGAGGACATGTTTAGGAGGTACGGAGAGTTTAATTTAAAGGCAATCACGATTGAACTATCGACATAGACTGTAGTTAACACTAAGTTAAGTTAGTAAAGGATCTTGAGGGTATTTTATTTAATTGTAACAGTTGACAGAAATGATTTGGACATTTAAATAATGACCGAAATGATATAAAATTTAAGAAAACATTAAGATAATGTATTTTTTTATGACTCGGTGGCATATATGCTAAGCTATTGACATGGCGCCAGGAGTCGTCGTTTCGAAAGTATGTATGTGGCCTACAGATAATTAATGCAATTCTGTGTAGTTTTCCCAGGCACGGTTGACGTCGGGTAGGCGTTCGTTTGAAAAAAACCTAGCAAAAAAAAAAACCATTAACAACATGTTGTGCCGACCCAGATGAAAGAGGGACAGGAGAAAGAAAAAAAATATATTTTTTATATGGTCAAACTGCAATTTAATAAAGTCGTTACAGGGTACGACGATTAATTTCGTAATGTCTTAATCATCAGTTTAAACGTTAGAATTGACTCATACTGCTTAACAAGGCAACCTATGACCATTAATTATTCAATGGTTGCCTCATTAAGCTAATCCGATGGAATTCTTGAGCAGTTTGTGTATAACACATATTTATCAATTATTCGGCCACGAATCGAAATCGATAATTTATAAAGATACAAGATTATTTATTAAATTAGTTACTAGCTTAATAAAGTATTAATGTCCTGGTTATCTAATTATGCATAGAGAATTAGTGTATAAATAAAAAAAAAACTTGATGTTTGGAAAGCATGAAGGTAAAAGATAATCTGGTCCTGTGTATTTACCGGGAAAGTACCATGGCCTTAAATAGGGCCGGTGAAAATTGAAGTTATACTCATTCTTTTCGTCTAGTGAGTGAGGTTTATTGAGATCTTAAAATTTGTTCCACAAGACAACTCTTCTTTGCTTGATTTATTTCCTATTCCGTGAGCGGCAATAATCACTTACAATTAGTTGAACCCCTAAACTGTTTGTCATCTTTTGTTATAAAAAGGAAGGGTCCATATTAGCAGTTGCACCAGTCTGCAGCATTGGATATGTCCACGCCTCCCAATGGCTTGACAAGGTAAGTTCACTCTGCGCTCTCTTACGCAGATACACAGAGACGGACTCGAGGCCTCTCACGCCAGCGCCTACGCTCGCTAGCGGCAAGTCCAGGGGATCCAGAAGGTGCCTGACGCCAGACCAGCCCCGCCAGAAGACGACCATTGTGCTGGATTTGCGTCGCAGCCACAGCCAGGTGACATGAACCACTTCGATATCTTGCCATCTGATCGCTTAGACACGCTGACTCTGTGCTATCGTCTACACCTTATGCGTGACATTTTTTGGTTTGACGGGAAAAGTACCACAACGACGCTGCCCTGATGACACTTGACTGCTAGACGCCCCGGGTTTTTTCAACAGAAAGACACTCGCCTGCCAATAGAACTGGTTTGATTAACCTATCTTTAAATGGTTACCGCCGCCTATGCATATCATCAATAACCTTAAGTTTACAGTTGTGGCGCTAATCGTTAAGCGTCATGGTTATCAAACTCGTTGGGCTAACCGTATGAGTTTAAAAACATCAACTTTTCGTCGCTCTTATGTAAACTTGGTACTTTTTGTCAAAACCAAATAGAGTTAGCTTACGAAAACATAATAAATTCATTTAATTTATTCAATAAATCGTTGAAAGTTATCGCAGTTGACTTTAATTAAGAAGTGAAGTATCGTAAATCGTACCATATGACTCTTTTAGAATGATCATTTCCTTATGGTAATTTCGAAAGTGCCTTTGTAAATGTAGAACAACTAATAAAGATATCAGAGCGAATAATATATTATTAATATAGTAAATATAACCATATATGGTTAATCGCGTAATATATATATATAACCATATATGGTTTAGTTATCAAACCAAATCCCCAAACTCGAATAACTAGCTCGATTGCGTTCATAATAATTATAAAATTAAAATGAACGATACGATTGAACCTACATAATATTTAATTTGCATTAAGACCTGAAGATATTGTTCGAGATTAAATTTGTTTTACGACGGAACATTGAAAACAACGTGCGATGTAGGTTAATGGACTCCGATAAGGAAATGTTTACATTTCAGACGCTTGGACGGCGCAGGTTTTATTTAAAATCTAGGTAATATTAAAAAAAAATAGTCTACTCTGTAAATAATCGCGAAAATATCACGATAAATGATGTCGCTAGCTATGAAGTATACTATGTCTTCCTATATGTAGATAAAAGATTTTGTTAAAATGGAACATGATTTATTATGAGAACAATCGTTTTAAAAACAAACAACACCAGTTTTCTAATACGTTCTAAGTAGTACAAATAACATAATATGATTCGAATACAATGTTACAACCATCACCCTTACAGAATAAGTTTGTGCTGTGCAGTGGAAGTTTCACTGACACTAATTTTCTACACTCAATAAATTTGAAAAAGAGAACACTATCAGTGCTTTTGGCCTCTAAATGGAATTATACCATCATTGAGTTATGTTATGCAATGAAATTTCAAATACATATCCAGACTGGATTAAGGCATTTTTTTTTATTTCTTTGAAATGGCAACAAGCGAACAGACGGTTCACATGATCTAAGATGATTACCTCCCACCATACACATCCATATCACGCATACAAAAGTATGATACGAGTATTATACCGCAAATTTCAAAATGACTAGAAGTTGTTACTGATTGTACTATCCTATAAAATTAAAATAAACCCGTATCTTTTTGGTGATAACCGTTTACACATGAACAAAGCCGGGGTAGTGGATCGAACGCCATAAAAGGAAATTGTTTATTTTTTCGTTTTGTGAAAGGAGGTTATACATAACAGGAAACTCTATACTACCGCGGCTACGGGACCTCCGAGCTGACTGCCGGCCACAGCGCCACCAACGACCGGTCGACGCTACCATCCCTGAATCTTTCCGAAAGCGGTCACGATCGACTCGTGACGGTGCAATGCGAGCACCTGCCACCAATAGCGTCTCCTTTAGTGCTGTCGAAGAGGGATCTGCCTGCTAAAGAACCACTTAGTGTGAGAACTGCCAGGAAGGTATGTTTATTCGTATTGAAGTCCGTTTGGTTGGTCCTTGCCAAATAGACTTGCTTTATGTTTATTGAATGATGTCCTCCCTTTCAGTGCGTAGACTGTTAAAGCTTCGTCGAACGCACAGTTCGTCGAACTTTCATATCTCAAAATCTTGATACGGTAACTTAGTATCAAAAACTTTAAATCTTTGTTTCGTATTGTTGTTACCGCAGATGAATGGATTCGAAATAATGTCAGCCAAGTAGGTGGCTTAGTATACCCAGCTTTTTGGAGGCCTATGAAGGATTATTTTCTAAAGCGGACTTAGCACGATGGAACAATAAAAATTCGCAAACAGCAAAATCAGAAACAAGCAAACAACGATTTCATTTAAAAAAGGTTTTCTATTTGCAAGTAATGACGAACATGTCGTTTAACTGGTCGCCTTTATGTGAAATTCTAACGTACTCTGCAAAAGTCATAAGACGTTATAGTTCAAATGTATGTTACATGCTTATGACTTGTGGGTACCACGTTATCTGATTGTTCAATATTCATTTGAGTTAGATAAAAGGTGCGTAAAGCTGTAAACGATAACACAATCAGTAAGCGTATTGGCGTTAAGTCATAACTTTCAAATTTCACTCGTCGAAGCTTTATTGAAAAAAAAAGGTTTCCAATTTATCATCAATCAGAAATCTAAAGTGGTTACAAATAGAACTATAAATGAACGTGCTTCCATTTCTAATATCAAAATCGAAACTCACACAAATAAAAAGGGAGAAACCCAAAACAAATGTGTATTCGGCGAGAAAGGAAATCCGCAACACAAAGAAATACAAAGCCACGAAGCAGAATGCAAGGAAATCACAAGCGGTGCGGTCATGTGATTGCACCTCTTTACACCTGTCGAGAGTCGTCATCGAGAGTGGATCGAAGAAAAGGAGGCGGTTCCCACCGAATGCTGTCACGGCGGTGACGTCATGCGACCCCACAAGCACAAATAGAAGGATTAAGCTACCCAACGTACAAGTGAAAAGTAAAGCACCAAAGAACGAAAAGTCGGTCGAAAGGGAAGATTTCTTTAGTAATTTGGAGGTAATAGTCAAACGGAAGGTTTGAAAAATAGTATGAGCCTAAAACGAGACAATGCAATACTATATAAAGAATAGAATAATAGAGTCGAAATTATGAAAAAATATCTTCTGTGGCGACCTTAAATCAAACAAAAAAAGGAAAAGGTTGGTTACCACTGTCTTAATTCCATACATTGGCAAATCCTTTTCAGAATCAACTCAAGGCTTTGAACTTAAGCAAGACGGTGAAAAGCAAGAAAAATGATATGCCTGCGTCTCAGCGGTCAAAAGGTGACAAAGACAGCAACAGCTCAAATCGAACTGAGAATGCACATGGAGAAGACATTGGTAAGAATTTTCTAAATCTGTCATAGTTGTAACATTATGAACATTAGTTTTAACCCCTCAATGTAAGAAGACTTAGGTAACGCTAAATTCTGGTAAATTGTTCTAGGTCCTTTTTTTGTTGCATACTTTAAAGTTGCATTTTTTAAATATTTGAGAAGGCCTTTGCCGGGTAGTGGCAACATTACTTTACTTTTGACGTAATTTCCCGGTCATACCTTAAAAATAGTGTTGTGTAAACTTAGGAAACTTCCGTGATTTGCAGGCGGTGGTGAGGTTCGGCGACGTGGTAAACGCAGGCGTAAAGTCCGCGGTGGCAGCGATCGCCTCACTTCCGCGGGCTTAGCTGCTCAAGCTCAACAGGATCCCGAGACACAGGTAGGTAAAATTAAACTGCCACGTCTTTTTACCCTTACGACGTAGGTATCCACGTTTATCGAGCTTTTTGTATTACAAGGGACGATTACCTAACGTAATAGATATCATACACAACATAAACATAAAATTAAAGTAAACCTATCCTTAGGTATGATAGACGAGAGCTGTGATAGCTCAGTGTCCAGGGGCTCACTTTTAATTCAATACAAGTCTGCCAATCCGCGATGGAGTCGCGTGGTGGACAAGTATGCGCTGATACTCTCTATACAGAAAGAAGCCGAAGCCGAAAGCCAAGGTGCTTCCTGGTCGAAACAGCCTTTCATTGCCTTATAGGTGCGAATATATTATATAAAAGGAAGTTTGAACCCAAACATTTGAAATCACCTGTGGAATATAATGAGCTTGATTAATGGGCCCACTTCATTAAAAGGTGGCAACACGTTTGAAACCATAGTCCCAAGTACCAAGTCCATGAGCGGATATCACTATATGAAGTGAACCGCCAGATCGCTTGCCACCTTCTCACATATGAAAAACAACACAGCTCTAACATATTAAATCATAGGGTTATGTTTTTAAACTAAAGGAGACGAATAAAGTTAAAAGAAGATATAAGTAAGATAGTGAAGTATTTTCCGTTAGATCGCCGGGATCGGCACCAATTCGCACAATGCCAGCTCCCGTGGCTCCATAGCAATTGCTGAAGATGTGCCATTGCCGCTGATTGTCAAGCCAGTCGCAGCTTGCAACGCCGACTCATTCTTAGAAGGCGACATCCTTAAGTATTTGCATAGGGAGGTCGACGAGGAGGCTATTGAAACCGAATTCGATACAAAGGTAAAAAGGTAATCTTCATAATTTTTAGTTATCTAAATGTATTTACTAATAAACGAGCACATTTTAATGATTAACAAACAAAACCCATTTCGAAAAATATCATTAACTATACTTTTAAAATTTGATTTCGAGAAGTTTCCATTCTTCGGATGCCAATAGGTACGTATGTTAAAATTATAATAATTAAATTACTTGAAATATTTGTTGATTAATTTCTAATTGATTAATGTAATCAGGCCATTTAGTAACAGTACATCGTCAATAGTTACTGAGCAAAATATTGTTAGTTACGCATTTGGCTCAATTCTTAATCGCCATTAAATTTTGCGCGCGTTACATTTATTTTACTACGGTAGTAGAGTCAGCGTACAGAAAGACTTTTAAAAGTACGTATACTTTTTAACCGACTTTAATAGAAGGTTATAATAAAAAAGAAGCTCATTACCATAATAATATAAAATAATAATAGTATTTTTTTTTTCAAATTAATACCACAAAATAATAAACTATTAATAAAAAAATAAATAAAAAGAAACTCGGCAAATCTATTTCTACACGTATTTATGTATATAGGTACTAACTACTCTTAGTGTTCACCCACCATATTCGACCATAATGGTAATGGGGAAAATATGCAAAATTTATTATAAAATTTCATTTTTTTTTTCAATTAATAAATCTAAAGCTCGTCAATAGCTATTAAACATAAAAAATAGCGGTGCTTTTGCCTGTTTAGTATAGATTCTATAGATACTCGATGCCATTCCCGATACATCAGAATGACTATAAGTTTCACATCTTAATGCAATAACTAACTAAAAAAAATCAAATAAGGAAGTCGAGTTATTTCCATGCAGCGCCGTTACGTACTCCAAGAAGCTCTTAGAACTAGAGGCTCGAGGCCGCCCGGACCTGAAATGATGAACCTACTACGGGAACTGCAGGTATCCAGCGTCAGTCTGTCTGACTGGTTGCATATTCCAAGGGTATTCAGCAGGCAGAACGGTCGCTTTGGGCTGCCCATAGACACTTATGAACTGGAGGGTGAGTAGGTATTTTTAATTGTTAGGGCCAAGGAACAGTCTTCGATGTTGGACGAATGAGCAGTGCCATCCGGGGAAGTACCACGACCTCACGGCGTGAAGTAGAAGTGTTACACTTCTGCATTTCGCCTGGTGTGTGTTAACACACACTTTTTTAAAAGGTGGCAACTCGTTTGCAATCCTACGGGACATGTAAATGTGCATGGGCGGCGGTAATCACTTAACATAAGGTGAACCGCGAGCTCGCTTGCCATTTTACAATAAAAAAAGTCGAGCTCTATGTCGACTATTACTAGTCCCTGTTTTCTAATCGCATAAAAGGAATTTTCTGATGGAGGGTTAGAAGTACCAGAGACCTTCGTTAACTGGTCTCTTTACTTCGAGGATTGTAATCGGCTCAGGTGGTATTCGTGTGGTTTCTGGAAACTGGTATGTGTGCAGCAAAAGTTCTGAAGCAAAGCGATTGTTTCATCTAACCCTTCGTAATTGTTCTCGAAAATAAATATGTGGTATTAATAAGAATTGAGAAAGGGAAATTAAATAATTAGATAAGAAAATATATTTAGTGTAAATTTTCGATTAACGATTTCCCATGCAATTTATGTTCATACATCTAACGTGAATAATAGTGGAAAAATAAAAAAAATATTCTTCAAAACAGAAGTAACTTCTGAGGGAACCATGCAGTTCTGTTCATTTTTTCTGCCACAATTTCTTGCTCGGTAAGGCTTTTCCCAAGGTGTATTTAGATTTTTATACTTCTGTTTACTGTATGTTGACTGTGGTATCCGGAGAACCAGGTGGGTTTAAGTTTTGCAAAACACGGAACCAAATGATCGAAAGTTTTTTGCAGCATTGTCACCTATGTTATATGCTGCAAGGTTTGTCACAGTCAAAAAGTCGAAGCAGCTTCTGTATCTGACAGTTCTAAGGAAGTTCACACCGCAAGGATATAGGATGCCTATAAAAGTAATATTTTTTCCTTTTTTTTTGTAGTACATTGCCCTTACTGTGTTATAATATTATCTTCTTGTAAGGACGTTTTACATACATAAATTCCATGTGGTACGACACACAGATCCGAAAGAAATATTATATGCAGGTTTCCTCACGATGTTTTCCTTCACCGTTGAGCACGAGATAAGTCAGCACTTAAAATTAACCACCGGGGATCGAACTCAGGTTGCTCGAGTAAATTGAATTAAAGGTGAGCGCCCGGACACACCACAGCTCGTGGCATAATATACACCCTAATTTAAAAGAAGGGGACCTGGTCATTGTACGCGGTGAAAACTCTGCTTTAATAATATGGCCCACTGCTAAAGTAAAATTATTCCCGGACCAGACGGTAGAGTCAGGGTAGCCGAAATAAAAATGTCAAACAATAAAACGTATTTAAGATATTTCACAAAATTAAGTCCCTAGTATTTTTTTATCATTTCTTAGACACGACTATGTTTTTTTCACGGCTTTTATGCAGAAAGACAAATGCTGCAAAGAGAAGTACCAGTACAACTCTCAATTCTGCTGAACAATTCCAACTAAAGTAGGTAGCTACGGCAGTGACGCTATGCAAATATAAGACATCTAGCCATACAAAGCGCATAGTGAGTCTGAATATCTCATTCAAGAAAAAAAGTCCAGCTCAACATGTTCCACCGAAAGATGTGAAGTTGTACCAATACGGGCACTGGCAAGTTGGATAAAAGATTGAGATGTACATTTCCAGGCTGCACAGAGTATACACAAGTTATTTGCAACAAAATGTGGGATGACCTTGTGTTATAATTAATAAAACAACTTTCTTAAAAAAAATGTTCCTGCGACACATAGTTTTTGTTGAAATAATACTTTTTTTTGTAATGAGATATCGTAAACTATTTTTTCCATTAATAAATCCCCATTTGCTACCTACTCTCAATGAATACAAATAATGACCTTGCGCCATAAAGATTTAAAAAATTACTAATCTAATTGAAAAAAAAAACAGTTTTTGTTTTATACAGGATATCGATGAAGGACTCATCCTAATGATGGGGGGAATATTGAACAAGGAACACGTGAATCAGTTCAAAGCCATCATGGAATGGGATTCCTATACAGAAGGAGACAATATCCCGGACGAAATTAAACTAACGTTATTGGATGAGGAATATAAGGCGCAGTTTCCTTCACAGGATGTTGACTCCGAGAAGGTTTTATATAACATTCTTATTAATATATGCTTTAGAAAAATGGTATTTGTGGACGTTGACTTCGGTGAATAATCACTTACCATCAAATGACCAGTACCGGATGTTCGTTTACCACTTTCGTAAAACTGTTACGTATATACATATAAGTGTTTGGAAAACTACTTAAAGCTCGGGTTATAAAATTTTCAATGCCATAAGTAATTTGAATTGATAAACATATTTAATAAAATGTCATTAAGAATATATTTAAGGTAATAAATATATTTAAGAAAATATGTTTAGCAATATTACCTAATATATTATCAATAACTATACTTAGTAAAGCATTTTCTTAAAAACCGTTGAAATAGGAGTCAATGTTTTCAGAGCGATCTAAAAACTATCAAATATCGCACGTGGTGCGGTTTATGTGCCATTTGCGAACGTATGTACGGACGATTCCCGCCCAGAGAGAAGGATCCACCTGACGGGGTAATGTCTATAGTATTCCTCTCTATTTTTCTGTTATTGTAAAAAAATAAGATCTTATATCTATGGCCGTCAAACAATCGAAGCAGGCGCTTAAAGTGACTTTAATCTTTCGTTCAAACTCAGAAAACTTATTAGAGAGGAATATGTGGTTAAAAGGGTATTTCCCAGATATTGATCGAAATGGAGCTGGGCCCACCTTAGACGCCTCCAAACTCCAAGTAGAGGGTAAAGATCGAAAATCAGAACACCGAAATAAAACCTAAAGCCATGCACACTGCCTGCGCCGTTAAGTAGACCTATACTTAACTGCGGGAAGATTAGCATAATAAGTAAGAAGATATCGTCTCACTCACCCCCAATGACCTTCAAAAGCAAATGCCTAGCTAAGAACCTAGAGACAAATCACGCCGTCTTGTGTGCATATCTTCATTTTTGACTAAAAAAATATCGAACGGTGGACGGTTTCACGGTCCGCAACGAACCTAGATGGACCGTAGCTGATATTCCTCCCCATAAAATCATGCGCGGCCCTACGAAACGCGGAGAGTCGTATAAAGCTCGTGACATCTGGTTATCTCACGAGTTCAACGCTCGATGAAGCTTTAATAGTCTACGGAATAAAAGCATTAGTCAAAGATCCATACACCGATACCTCGTTGACGTTACGATTATTAGGCCTGTTTCTACTAATTATTCTTATCACTTTTGTCACTCTATAATGGCCAAATTTAACCTAGTTATTTCAATGTTTCAGATGGAGTTAAGTGACTTTACGATGATAGAAACAAAACTTTCAGTATTAAAAGTTCACAGCAGTCTGATAGAAATACTAAATGTAATAAGAGTACGTTAGAAATCTTATGAAATCTTTAAAAATAAATTGTTTATATTAGTCATTAAATACTTTTAGTCATTAAATGATTTATTTAATTTCAAAAAATATCAATAACAAGACGTGGCAACAGTTAATATATCACACCTGATAGTCACGTTACCCAGTTAAGGTCCTCTTTGAAGAAAAGGTCGAAAGTATCCTGGACCTTCGGGGGCTAATAGTCTTAGGACTGAAAACGAAAACTTGTCGTAAATTCAAATGTGTAATAAATATGAAGGTTTGTGCGAACACATACTCTGTATTGAACTGTCTTGAACCTTGTATGAGACCTAGGTATTCCAAAATGTCTGCCATCGTATGTCGATGAGCCTTTAATAGTACTACGGACTGAAAGCAAAAACATCATACACGAACTGTTTTTAGACGTTATGTGATTATTTTAAGAAAGATTCGATGTGGTATCGAAACAACTTATATTATTACACTTATCTATACAGTTTATAAATACCGATTAACACTGTTTAAGTGTTTAGTGAAGTAGATAAGTACAGTTATGTAAACCATCGGACAGTAGCGGGTCATCTTGGCTTGCAAGGTGCTTTACAACTACTTTTACTCTAATAGAATCGCTTAGCATTTTTAGTGCAAGTGCGCCCATCGCGCGGCCGTTTCACCCACGGGGCACTTGAATCGTCACTTGTCGTAGTGTAAACAGTCGGCGCAATCATGTTCTAATTATAAGATCTTTAAAATGTACTTATATGAATAAATGAACACAGCTCAAACAAAGTAATGTGTATTTAGTTAACAATCCGGTTAATAATGACAAAATGTTTCTAGTTATGAATGTATATAACAATACTTAAATTTTCAAGACTCGTTTTCTTTATGTATAAAACGATGTTTTGCTTTATTTCGGTAAGATAATAATTTTTGGACCAAATTTGCTGCCCCCTAAAATCTGTTGCCCTAGGCTTTAGCCTACTTGTAGCTTATCTGTGCCTGTCGTAGTAAACAACGAGATTAATACAGATCTTGCACTGTGGGCTTTAAACCCGAGCCTGTTAACACCAAGAAGAATATAGCCACTACGGTTAACGCACCAAGCGGCTAGCGCTGCGATCGAGGGATACTCAGTTTGACAAAAATTATGAAATTCACACGACTGTAATCCACATTAATTGTTCTCAGTTCAGAGTGTAGGGTAATTTACCTTAAATTCCGAAAATGTGAACGAAACCAACATGAAACATATTACACGTTGTAGGATTTAAAAAATGCAGGTTCGTGCATCTCTCGATCATAGCGCCATCTGGATTTTTCTTCAATAATGCGATCTCTCCCATTAAATAAAGCATATAGTGTATGGATAAAACTGTGTTCGATTTTATAGTCGATAAGTCTAATGACCATTGCTGCCGACGTAACATTTATGTCATTCCTCACATATCTAACATGCAAGTAGCGGAAACAAAACTCTAGCGCATAACTGTCTATTTAAAATAACTTAGTGAACAAAGCTTATTTTTATTCAACTTCAGTTTTTTTTGTTCATATAATCGTTCACAAAACTATTTAGTTAATAAAACTAAATCTTGAATAGGTATAACTAACTTCAATTCAATAAAAATTGTTTTATATCTATTTAGGTATTAATTGTTCAAACTATTTTTTTTTTCTTTACTTGCGAGACATTTCAATTTTACTCGATACTTCATAAATTGTAATCACTTAAATACATCACTAGTAATATTGAAGTTGAACCGTTTTTATTACAAAACTATTTTCGTATTTCGCTGTAACGTAACGAATTTATTTAGGTTAATGAAAATAAACAAACGCCATAGTAAATGTGCTCCGGTTATATAAATTACATGAATAGATAATTTTATTTACTTTTAATAAACCACTAATAAACGACGAGATAATGGATTTAAATGATGATTCAAGTACCGACGGTGAGCAAAACACAAATTTAAACTTTTATAATTAAAACATCGCGTTGGTAAAGTTCGTGTGTATTATACTGTTTATTTTTGGTTTTACAGAATATTTTGTCACGGCCGTACAGATTTTTGACTATTGTGGTGTTAATAGCACTGCGACTTTGCGAGTCGACTCGTTAATGGACAAATTTGCGCCATTTATCAAAACAAATAAGTAAGTTAAACCAACGAATCCTAGATTTTATTATTCTATAAGGCTCTGTTTGTATTTCCTACGCTTTCACAACAAATAAATTTTAAATTAATTTAATTTTACTTTGAAAATTGTAGCATTCATTTTCGTTTCTTTAATAAATTCATAAATGTTGTATTATCATCATCAATAATAATATTATAAAAGAAAATTTATGCATTTAGAGAAATTGATAATGTATAAATTAACCTTTTATATGTATTATAACTTTTGCAAATCATAATTATGAAATTTAATGTGTCCAGTCATTTAAAACACACCTAGGGCCAAAGTCTTCGCTGGTGCATGAATGGACAGGTTCGTCTGGGCCACAACTTTATTAAAAGGTTTAAACAACACATTTGCAACTCTACAACTGTAGGGAATGTCCATGGGTGGCGGTCATCACTTAACATTAGGTGAACCGCCAGCTCGCTTGCTAACAGTTTGGAAATTGATTTCTAATACTAGAGTTGACTGCATGTTAATAACTCTTAAATTTTATTCAATACAAATAACGTTATTTAACATTTAAATAAAAATTTATTAATAGAAATACTGCAGCTTTTTTAATCATATTTAAATATCTTATTGTCAATTTTTAAATAAGTTTCTATAAAATGCAAACAAATAGCTAAAAAATCGAGCTGTTATAAACATAATTTTATAAACTATTTCCAGATCAGAATACAGTTATTTGAGATCACTCCTGGATCCTGAAGAAAGTAACCCTGAAATTACAGTTTCGACTCTGGCAAGAACATTGAACAAATACAGTGAAAGTCAAAAGATAAAAGTTGACTTGGAAGAGAGGTCAGAGTCATTTAAGCCTTTTTATCTTTATATATGCAATTATTATATTTAGTAATATAAACATAAACAATACCATAGAAAAAGATAATTAATAATGAATTATAGATAATAGAATTTGAATTTTAATAATTTGCGATAATAATATTTATACAGGGAGGCTTTTCTCAAGTGTATCCATTTTATATTAAATTCTGGACATAAATATTGTTAAATCACTTGTAATTAATTTATTGTAAATAATTACATTCATTTTAACTTATCTCAAAAAGTGCGTGATTTATGGGCAACTCATTTATTTTACGCGCGATCATTCATAACTAATACGCACACGAGTTTGTTTCAAAAGTATATGACGCATTTATGAATGACTACCACATTGTCAACAAGTTCTGTTTTATGAAGAATGGAATGGCAATTTTTTGAAAAAAAGAAAGTTTGTTTTTATTTCAATAAACGATGATACTACCGAGTCTGAACCTCCTGTGTGAATTTGGGCACCTTTAGAAAAGCCACCCTGTATAACATATGTAATAAAATTTTCTTAAATAGTTATGATTCTATTTTAGATTTATTTTATTTTGTTCAGAAAGGGACATGATTGTTTGCCAAAAAAGACTGGTTAATATTGTGTGCAACAGTATGTGTATAACAGTATAGTTGATAATTTTTTTAAATTATTTGTTTAAATTTTAAAATATTAACAAATTGCTTTGATTTTTTTTTTAATAAACAACACATATATTTTAAATCTCACTTTACTTTTGCAGCTTTAATTTGAAAAGTGGCCAAGTCCCACATGACTCTGATTCTGGGATCTCAACAGATGGTATGATACAACAAGCTCTTCTCTGTTTTATATCATAATAGTTAAATTTATCTACAATTTATAAAACTTCTTATGTAGTCCTTATATGAGCAGTACTAATGCTATGAATAAATTTTTGACTGCAGTTGTTACAAGTAAGAAACCAGTAACTGGGAATTAAATCTTGCTTTGAGCGTTATCAGAATTCCGCCAATGTGAAGTTGTTCTTAAAATTCTCAATTTTATAAAATTCACATTATAATTGTAATAGACAGAATCTACAAAATCACTGACGTATCAGTGGAGCCATAGTAGGTTTAAAAAAAAGACAAAACCTACAGCCTAATTTTGCAAGTCTGGAGTACCAGACATTGAGTAGTGGTTCATCGCTGACTTTGAATATCCTGTATTTGAAATAATTATTTTCAAAAATTGCTACCTTTTTTATTTATTAGACACTACAATCCTGTAACATTTAAGAAAACTTTGTACTTATTTCATTCCTAAAGACATGAGTTAGAGTGTGTCATTTCCCTTTTAGCTGTATAATTATCATATCAGTACAAACAAATTTTATTTATACATAATTAAGCACATAGTGATAATAAATAAGTCATGGCCTCTTGAAATTGTTGTTCATGTGTAGTGAAGACAAGATAATAATGAAATAACTAAATCCGACGGTAAAAGAAATTATTATGGATGGATTATAGAAAGTACTAGAAGTTTGCTACTCGTAATATTTTTATTGTCATTGAAAATAAATAGCCTTTTACTTATCTTAAAAACTATACTAATACCCAGACTACAGACCAGTTTTAAAAACTCACACCAGTTTTGCAGCCTGAGGGTCAACCCTCCTTAGGGAAACAAACACCCAGATCTGGAGCGATTATCTTTGTGTGGGTCACACAAAATACTTTCCCGTGTGGGAATCGAACGACCACCTTCGTCGAAGCCAATAGCTTAGCAAGGGCGTCACTGAAGTCATCAATGATTGCAAATGCATTCACTTCACTAGACTAAAAGCAGAAATATGATAGCAGGCCGCGGAAATTCTCCGTACTGTCCTGCCCATTAGTGCAAATGCAAAGGCTGTTGCGTGGCCCTACCGAAGCGAAGTATAAGAAAAAGAAAGTAAAGTAACAGCCTTTACATGTCCCACTGCTGGGCAAAGGCCGCTTCAATACAGAGGGTATCAGGGCAAAGTCCACCACGCGGCCCCACTGCGGATTGCGGACTTCAAATATCTTCGAAATAAATATTTTTTGTTATTATTTCGACAATATGCAGGTTTACTCACGATGTTTTCCTTCACCGCGGAGCACGTGATAAGTCAGCACTTAAAGTTAACTTCATTGGTGCTGTCACCAGGGATTGAAGTCGGGTTGCTCGAGTATATTGTATTAAAGGCGAGCGCCCGGACACTGAGCTATCACGGCTCAAAAGAAGTGTATGGTGATACATTCCAGGATTCCAGTTGCTCGAGGAGTTGCAGTGCGAGCTGAAGGAAAAGGCGCACTTAGCTCAGCAGCTTCGCAGCCAGCTAGACTTCACCGACCGGCAGCACGAGGAGGCGCTGGCAACAGTGACCGCTGAGCGGGACTCGTTGCGGGCCCACTTGAACATGTAAGGACTTTTTATGTACATCATAAGACAGAAAACACAGATATACTCACTAAGACTAGATCAGATGAAGTATATGTAGTAGATGATGGTCAAGCCCTCAAGATAATTATCAACATTAACATCCAATTATTATACGGGTTGTCCATGCTTGATCAGTCTTTTTTTTTTTTTTCTATGCGAAAAGTTGTCAAACGAGCAGACGGTTCACCTGATGTTAAGTAAATACCGTCGCCTATGGACATCTGCCATACCCGAGGGTTACAGATGCGTTGACAACATTTTGAAAATTGGGCTCCGGCTACCTCACTCACCAGACGAAACGCGAAAGTATTTGCCATACTTCCACTTTACGCCGGTCTTCTGTGAGGTCGTGGTACTTACCCGGACGGGCCTGCCCATTCGTGCAACAGCTGAGGCTGCTGCGTGGCCCTACCACTGTAGAAATCTTCTTACCAATGAGAATTGAATAATTCTGGTAATATAATTAGTTTCACATTACTGGAGTATGATATAAACCTGTCAGCTTCTAAGGCCTGGTATCCTCTTCCAGCTTTTAAAAAGGATTGGGTTAAATAATTTTAGTGTATTGATTTCATTTGATTGGTTTCATATAATCCAGGTTAAGGGAGGAGAATATGACCCTGTCTCACGTGAGACGAGACTACGAGGAGGCATACGACCGTCTTTGCTGCAGCGAGAGGGCACTAGACGACGTCAAGCGCGATCTGGAGATGAGCAAGAAACGCGCCAGGGTCCTTTCTGAACAGGTGGCTGTTCTGGAGACTGAGGTCAGTTCTGCACTGAGTATACTGGGTATTGCAGATTTTCAATTGCAGTTAAAACATCACTATGCACTTAGGTGGTTAGTGGTGTTTTGAGTAGTTAAGTACTACCTGTTAAATTCCTTTATTTGAAAGTTCTGTCTAAAAACTGACTGTTGTTTCTTTCATAAATAGCTTCTCTTAGAAGAATTCTGAAAATATCATGTCAGTCAAGGGCCAATGTCTATACTCGATTAAACATCACTTGTTTATACTTAAAGATCAGATAAAGTTTTGAGATTACATTGAGATTTCCAAACATGAAAGTAAAGAGACATTTTCACATAACATTTAAATCCCTAATACCTTAATAATACATGACACAGATCCACACATCACAAGATTGTCAAGTTGTGTCAATTGACAAGTGACCGAATTTCAGCAAATTCTTTTAAGTGTAGACATGTAATATGCAATCTCTCTCACACTTATGATTTAGGTGCTTTACCGAAAATTGTAACTCGCCCCTCTTTCAATTAAATGCTACAAATCCGTAAAATAGTTTTAATTGTGTAGTTTTTACTTGATACGGGTAAAAATTGCCATTATTACAACAACTGGGACTTGTTCCGACAGAAATTGACTCTCCAGGAATTGTTGAGGGAATCGAAGGACGAGTGCCACCGTATAAACGAAATGTACGCAAACAGACAGTCGGTACTGCTTGAGGAAAATGAGACCTTGAGGACGGAGCACGCCGACGTTTCCAGCCGCCTGCAAGACCAAGAGGAGTTTATGCAAGAAATGGCATGGTCGATATGATACATAGTCCTAGAGCGTAAACCACTAGGTATGACTAGAAAACAATGACTACAAATTTACATTGTCTATTCTAGCATGTAAAATTCAACCTTATTAGAAAATTACTTCAAAGTTTTCTTACATATTTGTGTTTTATTTGCACAAAACAAAATTTTGTTTTTGAGACCTTATATTCTACTTCATTGAAAAACTAAAAAACTTGTGTATATATAGTGTATATATATATATATATATAATTTTACCATATATATTGTTCTCATGTAATAAATTGTCTGTTTTAATTTTATAAATGAATATTAACAATAAGCATCTCAGCCCATTTTAAATTTTTAGATACAGCATATTTTACTTTAAATGAAATTAGGGTCCAAATTATGTTTCATAATAAAGCTTACTTTTACATATGCTTTTACTGTAGCTTAAGTTCGTGTAGTTGCCTTTATTAAATGAACACGGAATGTGCCTGCATATTATTTTAGTTTTTTCATGTTCTTTTTTTTTACTTAATAACTAATTTCATGAATTATGTAAACTAATATTTTTTTATATGCCTTAATTTAGACAATCACGCTTTTTTTGCACAGTTTGCTCTTTTGTTCCTATCAATTTTAAATATTTCATTTCGCACTCATGAAATTTAAGTAGTGTAGGATCACAAAAATTTATTCTCAAAAAAGGAACATAATTATGGTCCCTTGTCATAAATAACTTCATCACGTAACAACCAAGGCCAATTTAAAAAACTTACAAATTATTACAATAAAGTCTTTTAGCTAGTAGCATACCAAGGATTTCCATATGTTGATACTAAATATCTTAAATTTGATATGTGTATGTGTGGGATTGAGCATATATATATATTTATTAGCCAATAACCAAGAAAAGCTTTGCTTTCTGCTTTATTCATAATGCATTTAACACATTTCCCCCTTAGAGAATCGTCTGTTAGACGAAGAGTCCTTTATAACGATATGTTAGGAGCGAAATGTTCAGCTGGAAGCGATACACCAAATTCTGTATTGTATGAGACAACTGAAGTACAGACAGAGAGTGGTAATCTTTCAAAATATAAGTAAAATTATAAAGACAACAAGTTTGTAGTATATAGTGCTTTGCATGGGTGGTGGGTGGTTTTATGTATAGTGGATATTAGATTTGTTTTCTTTGTTTTGTCAGTAATATTTAAGGAAGACATTTAAGTACATTGGGGCATTATCAGTACACAATATATTTATGTAATTTTTTTAACATTATGCCATAGTTGTTTTTACATTTTTTATGTTTGTAGGTAGTTACTAATGGTTCATCATAAGTATAAATAATGTTTTAACATTGGTTTATTCATTTTAGTAACATCTGTCTTACCTTAAAACAAATTCAAATAAATGCAGTATTGGGATTTAAGCACTAAAGCTTTTACAATTAGATCAGAGGAAATTTTGACATAATATAAAACACAGTATTCATAACTAAATTTCGTCGACTACTCCATGTGCAATTTTAATCTTCAAGCTCTACCATATTTTTAAGATTAATTTCTATTTTTACTGCTAGTCTCAGTAGTACTGCACTCAAGATGAAACTTTCAATTTCGCTACGTGAGCCCATCGGCGGCTTAGCTTAGCTGATAAAGCGTCTGGGCGCGATACCAGAAGACGCAAGTTCGAATCCCGCAGCGGTGAAAGTTTTTTATCTAAAAAAAAATTTTACAGTTCATTTAAAAACAAATATTTACAATTTATTATGATATTGTTTATTAATTCCTGAATATGGTTGGCCGAGAGCATTTAGACGCGGCATTGGTAAAAATTGAAAAATAATAGGCTCTTAAAGAAATCCGAATAATAAGATTTAACCAACCTCAGACTTAAATCGTGAGTTTTCACCTAGCTACCATTGTCTTGGAGAATGATTGACCTGATAGTTTAAAATTGGGTTTCAATTTTACAGATTATGTGTCAGTGTCCACCCAAGTGAATGTCCCCTGCTTTGATTGTGAGAAGCGAAAAACCACTGCGCAGAACAAAAGCCTCCGGAGATATTTTTGGTGCGTAAGCAATTCGTTTATTTTATAACATTTTGAATACATTTTATGTAGTTACATGGTATGGAAGTATTTCTTGTTTTGATTTTATAAGAACATTGGTCCACACTAGGAATTCACTTCTAGTGGCGTGGGTAAGTTTACAACCATTAATTGTACACGCACAAAACGCAGAACGATACGATTCCCGCACGCAACAAATATTTGTTGGTATTGAATTATTGGTTTATATTTCTATACAACGCGACATGTTGCACTGTACCCGATATGATTAAGATTGTTAGAATGTTATTATGTCATGTTATAACAATGATTTGTGTTAAAACAACAATGCCTTTTTTTTTTGGAAATTAATTTGATAAGATTACCAATATGATAAATTTAAATGTAAAAAGTGCTTTTCAAATATGATGGGTTCCCATGTTACTAATATCTGTCATTAATTTAAGGGTTTCTAGAAGTAGTTGTCCAAGTATGCATTGGTTGGCATGTTTAAACTAATCTTTTCTAAAGACTAACACCCAGTTTCCGAAAGCGCAATTAATTTTAATTTACGATAAATCTCTTGTCTAAAGTATTTGCAATTAGTCACTGATTAACGGACAATCAACAGAAAATCGAGTTTCTGAAAGCGTTTTTCGGTGGTCAACGAGCTGTCAAAGTTTTATTAAGTAATCTGTCAATTTGGACAGGATCGTTGGTTAAAAATGTATTTTATCAAAAATCTTTGTTTTTATTAAAAATAAACATAATTCCCTAATACGTTGTTAGGACATTCATGTGTTCTATTATCTATTTATTATTTATTATTATGCGAACATATCATGTGATTAGAAAAAATACAAAATGCAATTCAAAAGTTAATAAATAATATGGATTCTTTCTTTTTATAATACTTACTTATTTATTATGGATAAAAGTTAATTTTTTTCACGTTCTGTAATGTTTTATTTTTGACATTTTGCATGTATTTATATAAATTAAATTTTATTATAGCTCGAATTTTTACGTTGGCAATCAGGTGACAGGACTGGATAGTGACGTTAAATTAAGTTTTGTTTAAAAAGGGACAGCTATACAATAGAAAGAGTTAGTTGAAGTGAATCATTCATTTCATTCATTATCATTGGTTATACAGTGATTAGCTAATTTTTCTTGAACAAACCTTCCAGAAACCCAAGGCAGTTTAACAAGAGATTAACAGCTGATCATTTTTGACATAGTGTTATGTGATTGCTGCTTTGATTGGCCTTTCGGAAACTGGGCATAAGTGTGGGGTTGATGGTGCTTTTAAAAATCAACTAGTGATGCACGCCATTTTTCAAATTACGAATCTCAAAAAAAGCATGGTCCAAGTAGGTAAACCTGCACATAGAAAAGAATAAAAACTGCAATATTTGAATATACTGAAGACCCATAGTTTAGCTGGAGTAGTTCAGTGTCTGGGCACTTGCAAGCAAATAGAGGCATAATAATCCAGTAGTGGGTTAAGGCCTCTTCATAAAAATAACTTACACTGAGCAGAGAAGCAAAACTTACAGCCAGCATCGTCAGCCAACAAATTTATTTCACTAAAACAACACAATACACCAAGGCATCTCTGAAATTCCACAGTATGTGATTCCAGGGAGCCGATCAAGTGCCTGTTCCAGTTGTTTGCGGTGCTGTGTTTCGTTTGTGCTATATGCGCTTTGTATGGCGTGACGAGACGGCGCGCTCTCTGCGAGAGGCAGCCCCTGCCCTGGCGGTGGTTGGACCCTCAAGACCTTCTGGACTTCCTGCTCAGGATCGAGTATGTGGCCGAAGTTCCCATGTGAGGCCCCGGACTAGCAGGCTGCTCCAATAACCGGCTCCAGGCAGCCAGGCCACCATTTGGTGTTATCATATAAGGAGAGATATACTTCACTCGTCCTGGTGCTCATGAAACAAAATGTCTGTTTGTAGAACTTTTATTTGTTATTCTTTTTTGGTGTACTTGAAGTTTTTACTGTTGCATCAAGTAGACACAGTAAAGTGTGGTGCTTTTCTTATGGTTCCTTTAAAATTTGTGTTAATAACATGTTAATAATAATTTTGTAATAATTTTGTGTATGCGTGGATATTAAACTTTTGGATGTCGATTCCAATTTTATTATTCACATTTGAAGTCAATGTTATGTGTAAGTTGTGTTGTGAAAAAAAAAATTTTTAAGGAAATGACACGGTAAGACTAGTAGAAGAATTTGTACCACAGAGACATAATAAACAGAACTGTTGATATTAGAGCTCTGATGTTTCATGGTTCTTGAATATACATTTTTATTGTTTTAATTTTGCTTTAGTATTTCTAAACACGTTAAATTAAAACGACAATGCAAAGTTGACAATAATGTTATGCGGTAATAATTACAATGTTAGAACTAGTAATTTTTTTGTATTTTTTTTTATTTGGTCATTATTTCCAATATCTTTGACATTGAATGAGTAAAAGACGATATGACAATATTTTTTTTATATAATTGGTAATTAATTTTACAGATAATGCTGTTCCTGATTAAATTGTTTTCCAATACTTTTTCATTATTCGTTTATGTTAACATGTTGTATACATTACTTAATGTAAATCAAACTACCATAAAATATAACAGGTAACATGATCAATATGACGTAAATTTAAACATTATCCGAAAATGGTTATCAGTCTAAATATGCATGATATATATTTACTTATGTATCTTTTTAATTTATATATATTTTTACTGAATTCTTCTCGCTTTTTTTTATTGTGAAAATAGTTTCCGCTGATTTAATTAACTTGGCTAGTTTTTGCTTCGGAGCAAATAAATTATATTACAATAAAATATTGCATGTCATAAAATTATGTTATTCTGTAATTTCGTGCTTACATTTCTGCTTTTCTTGCTAATATCCAATTCTTATCCTATTCAACCTTAGTAATTTGTATGTGTTAAATATTAATATTATATATAATATATAAAGTTCTTTATTGTCGGCTCAAAATAAATTTAAGGCTAAAACAACATATTCAAATTTTAAAAAGATCTACCTTTTCATATTTTTGTGTGAATAGAAGACAATTATTTGACTAATACATTTTCAGACATTATTATTATAGCAAGTAAAGATACATATTTGTGATATAGGAGTGCCAGTATCTCATATTTTTAATTTTTTCATGTACAGTAACACTGTGCATGAAATATTCCCAACTAATTACACGAATACTTAGTTAATATTGGAGAGTTGTGAAAACTGTAGCAATTAATTCATTTTGACAATTTTTTTTTACCAAAAATTATTGTAATATGTCATAGGTAATAACTTAGAATAGACAGTGATACAAGCATATTTCATATTAACGAAATTACGACATAAATAAATCTAATATTGCTTTTTATCGTCGTAGATTTAACAGTCTTATATAATCCTCAGTTCCTTTTACTGCATTTACGTTGCATTTATTCAATATACAATTTTAATGTTAAGTTTTTCAATTCCTACTAACTACCAGTGTGCTATCCAGGGATATGCAGAGTGCATTTAATTACTACTTATACAGTTTAATTTAGATTATTTTTTGTTTTTAATCTGTGCCGCTATTGTATTACTGTTGTGTTAATTGTAGTAAATAATTTTAACATGTAAATCCCCAAATAAAGTTATTAGTTAATGGTGTTTTTTTTTTTTTTATCAATACTGAACAGACTTCCACTTGGACTATTCATGAAATGAGCTCTTGATGGAATGGCTTAACAGAACCATTTTTAAGCAGTTGAGGTTTGGACAAATTTGTTACAAAATGACCGTGGGTTCTCACGACCAGCCAACATGGGCATCTCAAAGACGCCGTTTACCCTAATATTATATTCATATAATAACAAAAATTTATATTATACGTTACCTTAGCTGTAAAATAGGTACTTATACATGTAAATCAATTAATTATGTAGACGACTTCTGTGGTAGGGCCACGCAGCAGCCTCGGCTGTTGCACGAATGGGCAGGCTCGTCCGGGTAAGTACCACGGCCTCACGGAAGACTGGCGTAAAGTGTAAGTATGACAAATACTTTCGCGTTTCGTCTGGTGAGTGAGATAGCCGGAGCCCAATTTTCAAAAGGTTGTCAACGCATTTGTAACCCTCGGGTGTAGCAGATGTTCATGAGCGGCGGTATTCACTTAACATCAGGTGAACCGCCTGCTCGCTTGTGAACTTTTCATATAAAAAAAAGACGTACTAACTATAAAATGTACAATTGCAAATGATTTCACTTCTGTAGTGAACACAGTTTATTTGTCCGTTGCAATGTAAAATTATTTTTTTAAATCATATATTTATTTTTTCAAATAGAAACCAACCAAACCACCATTAGTTACAATTATTTTTGACCCTAGAATTAGGTTATTAGACATTTTTTAAACCATTATTGTATAGGTATGCGTATGCAAATATCTAGAACACAGACGTATCTGCACCTCAAGTGAACAAAAATCTTTGTAAGGACAAACAAGTTGTGTCCGTGGTAGCTAGTGTGTTATTGTCTTTATTAAGGTGTTCAGGGATCTATGATTGTATCCTATTATTGTTTAATCAAAATTGAGAAAAAAAAGGATACGTGGCTTGTCGTTAATAATAGCATTAAAAAGAACTATTACTGGACCATATAAAAATCGTTTGTCTCCGATTGATTTTAAAGAACTCGTGCATTGGATTACGTCTCGCAATTTCAACCTTATTCCTTTCTCTGGTTAGGACCCTTATCGATTGCGATCCAAGTCGAGGTTCGAACCGTTGTCGTCTGCCCTGCCCGCGGACCTCACCGCCGAAGTTGTCAAAGCCGCCGGGCTAACAGCAAACTACACGTCACAAAAAAAATGTATACTGCAGCGTCGTCAATCTTCTGATGTTTAAGACAAGGAGAAACTAAAAACTGTCCTTGTGGGCTGCCCTGCATTCGAGGCCGAAATAAAACACATTACATGACGAAGCATAAACGAGCAATTCTTGTATATATACAGCGTGTCGTTACCATCGCGACAATAAATGAACACACGTCTAACGCTACTTGCCAATAATCATAAAAAAATATTAACGTGAAACAAAATCCATAATTAAAAAAAATATTTTCCAAGCAAACTAATTAAGTAAAAAAGAAACAAAATTTGTAACATCCTATATAACTCGCGCCACAGCGTCGCATTACAAGCCTCTCCATCTAACAGTATGTTTTGTCTCTTTTAAAGTCATTCAACCCATTCATATGCTTTGTGACCTTTACGAATAAATTTTACGTTACAGTTTTATACGTAAGGGTGTTCTAAAATTGTTTGTTTTGGAAAATTTAATAACTCGGTAAATATTGATGTTTAAAGAATGTAAATGTTTGATAAAATTTTAAAAAGTTATCCTCTATATGTGTGTTCATTTATTGTCGCGGTGGTAACGACACGCTGTATATATGTATAATCGGAATCTCGGAAACGGCTCCAGCTATTTTCATGAAATTTTGTATGTGCGTAGATTCGGGGGCGAAAAATCGATCTAGCTAGGTTTAATTTTTAGAAAATGTCCGTTTATCCCTGTTTTCAGGGAATGAAAAATATAATTCGAATATGACGGTAAATTTCGTCGCAAGAGAAAATGTCATAATAGCTCGGTCGGTAATGGGGCGGCCCCAAAACAGACGGCCGTGGTTCGCGTCACGATCATTTACACATTTATTTTTTTACTTTTTTTTTCGATTCCATATCATTGCTTTCTTTATTTTTAATTTTTTGTCGATTTGTTATTTTTTTATTTTTCTCCCTTTTTTAAAGTTCTTTCTTTTGTGAAAAACATCAGTTCATATTTTCTTATTATTACGTCGGTAAGATCGAAAAATATTATGCATATTTCATTATTCAGTAATTTGTATCTAAACGTAATTTCCAAAATACACGATTTAAACAAACCGAGCAAAGCTCGGTCCTCCGGGTACTTTTACTAAGGTTCCAAGGATATCTTATTAATTTCAAACCGCAAACGTAATCTACTTTTGATGTATTTGAAAATGAATATAATTTATAATTATATTCATTTATAGTTTATATTTTATTAGTTAACAGTGGGTACATGAAGTCGCACCTCCTTGAAATGATTCCTGTTGACGCCCATAATTCTACTTGTCTATTTATCGTCACGAGCGTAAAACACACGCTTTAATATATGTAATGTTTGAATCATTAAAGATGAAGGATCGAAGTTTTGTCGTAATGACATGAAACGAATAAGAGAAATATTTTATAGTTGCCGTTGTAAGTTGTAGTCTGAATAGGTCTCAATTTATGAACCGGTCGAAGTTAGGTTACTTACAATATTAAATAAAAAATGACTGAAAAGCTGATGTGAATTATAGATTATATACACAACTAGCGGACCCAACAGGTAACATTTAGTAAAGTCCGTTCTTAGCGGACCTCTACTCGGCGAAAGGAATATTCCTACCAAATTACAAGTCTCTACGCCTTATGGTTCCAGAGATATCGTGATGAGTCAATTATCGGTGGAAATATCTTGTATATATATAGATTTATTGTCAGTTATTTGCTCACCAGATTGAACAAAAATAAATATACTCCTACGTTGCCCTCCTGTCCGTTGCACATACCCAGACAAGCCTGCAGATTTGTGCAATAGCAGAAGCCGCTGTGTGGTTCTACATTAAGGCCCATTTACACGGTGCCAGTTTCTTGCCTGTTGTATACAATTAAATTGAAGCAATAAATGAGTTGCATGGTCTAAACAACAAATGGTCTTAACAATTATTGCGCGCAATT